AACAAGTTACTCTGGCAGATAATTCAATAGTGGGGGCAGGGGGAGGGTTGTGGATCATTAGAAAAGAAAAGAACTGAATGAATAGGTAGACACTAATTGGTGCCTACAGGCTGTACCAACACATTAACACAACACCAGTGGTTGGTGAAGAAAAATAGCCACAATAAGGGTGTGACATTATGTATTGTACTACACTATCCCAGGTTGGCAGTGATCAGAAGTATGGGTCTCTGGTGACTGAGAACGTGAACTCTGAATATCGGCATATCGATATGAAACCATTCCCTGTCTCTACCTTCAGGTATAAATTTCCTTTTGCTGCATATAGAGTACTTGTAAGTTTTTCAGTTTTCTCGGTGTACCTGGCTTTGGCTTTTTGCCACTTCCATACTATGTAAATGGTTTTGACTTTTCAGGGAGCGATAAGTAAAAATGTATGACTTATAAAGAGGCCAGTATTTGATATGTACTTTTACTCACCAACTCGCTATCCATTACCAATTACCTACTGTGTGGTAGATTCGAGCCAAGAATGAATTTCTGTGGAGCGAGTGGAGTGAACCAGTCGTCATAGAACGCTACCCAGAGTTTTACACCAACTGCTCTGGTAAGTTTTCCCCTCACATGGTTAAAAACAAGGCTGTTTCTACAAAAACATTTTCCTACTCTGGAATGCCAAGTTTGAGATAATTACTTTCTTGCATTCTTATTCCGCCCCTCATGCATTCTGCACGCAATAATAATTGGGCATCTTTCCAAAGCTACGGTATAATATAGCGTGGACCATAATACTCATACATTGAATATGCATGAGCAACAAAGTTGAACCATGGATGTTGGCCTTATACATATGTATTTGAACCATACATAATATTGAGAAATCCCTCTCATTTCAGCTGTGTTTGAGGAGCCTGGGAGTGAGGTTGATCTCTATGTGTATGTGGTGGGGTCTCTTGGTCTGGTGGCTCTGGCAGTGACGGTGCTTCTGACTGCACTGGCCATCAGCCACTTCTGCCGCAGATACCGCCTCAGGAAACAAATGAGGAGAGCCTTGCTGGTCAGAGATCATACAATGCTCAGTTAGGTATATACAGTGGAACCCCTCTCTGAGGACACCCCTGAAATGAGGACACCTAACCTGCTAAGAACAGTTTTTGCACACAATTTAACCCAGAAAACCTCACTAACTCTGACAGTCTCATCGGTGTGCGTATTGAAGGGGTTGCACTGCATATGAACTAGTGCTTTATATGTACTCGTGCCATGTTCTTGTTTCATAATCTACTGTTGTGAGCTGCCATTCTCCTTCCGAAACTCCTGTGTTATATATACCCAACAATACTTTAAGAGCTCTCTCCTTTTTCAATTGATGCCGTTTTGTGTGCAGACCTGCAATCCAATGTTCACGAGATGTGACCCCAGCAACAAACACTGTGGATCCGCGCTATGGGAAGCACCCAAAGCGGATGACTGGGAGCTGCCCAGTCCCAGTATCCTCCTCACTGATGAGCAACCTCTCGGAGAAGGCTGCTTCGGCACTGTCCACAGAGGTGTCGTCAAAGGCCCCATCCTCCATAGTCGAACGATGAAAAACACCATCTGTATGAACGTCACTGTGAAATTCCTAAAAAGTGAGTCTCAAAATCTTGTCTCGCTCAGTGTATTGTGATAAGGAGGTCGTGTGTGTAAAAGAGTGTTTATGTCTACAGTTATTGTGCCTGGTGTGTGTGTGTACTAGTGTGTATGGGGGGAGGAGACTTGCACGAAAGGCCAGGAAATTTGATGACTGAGTGGATTATTTTGTGTCCTGGCCCTCTGGTCCCTCCCTCGCATATATACACAGACCCTCCTCTTCCTCCACACTGTCTGCCCAGGAAATTATACCCGGCTGTTTTCATTGCCTGAATCAACCTTCGGCTATCACTTGAATCTTAATTGATAATTGGTCACAATTGAGCACCATAACATGATGAATGCCATCGTAAATTTCCTTCTTCCCGCCCTTCTTCCTTCTCACCCTCCCTCCCTCCCTTTTCCCTCCCTCTCACCCTATTCCTCCTACCTTCTCTCCATCCTTCTTTTTCTTCCTCCCTTTGCTTTCCTCCTCCATCTCCCTCATTTCCTCCCTCCCTCCCTCCCTCAATCCCCCCTTCTCCACTTTCAGAAACGGCCACTGGAAGCGAAAGAAGCGATTTCTTTACAGAGATAGAGACCATGAAGCGTGTGGCCGAAGGAAACAACCCTCACGTGGTCAACATGATAGGCTGCGCGACTCTTCAGGAGCCATTACGTCTGGTGACTGAGTTTGTCAAGTTTGGAGATCTCCTCTCCTACCTCACCACCATCAGGAGACTGGTGAGTGGTTCAATTTGAGTATCCTTACTAGCTGCACGTACATGGATATTGAGTCTAATGTAGAATTCCGTGTATTATAGATAAGTGGACAAAGTGAGATGTTAGCTGTTGAGATGTGTGAGACTGATTCCAGCCACCCCTCTTCCTCCCTACCCAGCAATGTAAGAAATCCTCACACCTCAAAACAACCGTTCGCATCTTTAATATCTTCTTTATTATCCAGGCAAGTCTTCCACTTACTATCGACAACAACGCTGCAGCTGCTATCAACAACCCACGCTCTATTAGGGAAAGTTGTGCCAACGGTGCCTGTGGGGAGGGTTGTGATGCTAGTGACGGAGCTTGTGGTGAAGGTGACCCGGGCACAGAGCCGCTGAGTCCTCTCTCGCAGTGCGCCTCTTACGACAAGCTCAACCGTATTTGTCCAGCCTTGGGATTGTCCACCGAGACTTGGCCCGCAGAAACATTCTCATCGGAGAAGGCAAACAAGTCAAGATCTCTGACTTTGGCATGGCCCGTACAACAGTGGATGAGGTAATCTAATGCTGCTTCTCAAAATAGACCTGAACATTGAGTGTGAGAAGGTTTTTACCTGGTCCAGGTTTACGGCAAGTCAACTAAGGGGAGACTACCATGGAAATGGATGGCAATAGAATCGATAGAGAGTCGAGAATACACTACTGCCTCCGATGTGTGGGGCTACGGAGTTACCCTCTGGGAAATTGCAACACTAGGTATAATAAACAGCACCAGCAAACTGTGTTTACGTTTGTTCATGGACCATGATGTTATACCGACTTTCGTGACTGCGTACTGTAACAGCAAGGTTCAACTGTAGGAATGTACATTTATTCATTCACCATTAAGTTGTATATATACTGACTATATGACTGCGTAATGTAGTGACTGAGAAAGGTGTTGTTTCATACTGTGCAGGTGGATTTCCGTACCCAACTATTGCCAACGGAGACCTCCTGGAGTATCTGAGAAAAGGGAATCGTCTAGAGTGCCCTTCCGACTGTTCCAGAGAAATGTGAGCCACTACAGGTGTCTCCACTTGCTGTGCCTTAGATGTCCAAAATTACCACCGCCCCTTTCATATGTAAATAAAGCCTTCGAGCCTAAAGTATAATTATTCTTGATTTGTACATTGCATACCGACGTAAACTATCCCTATGTTTATGCACAGCTGCTGCTAATAACTGATCCGCCATTTTTAGAAGACCAGCAGTCGGCCATGGTACCGCCCAATCTGTACGTGGATACGCCCACAAAACCCAGCCAGCAGAAGAGAGCCCTGGAACGGAGCGGAGACCACCCAACAAGACCCACACATCTCTCCCTCAATCTGGACACAGCTGAGACCGAAGTCTGAACGGAACACCTACACCACACCACAACCACGACATGTTTTGCCATGATCACTTTGAATGATTTGTGCTCCCCTGCATTTTGCTTCCATAAAGATCGTGCACAGGATGCCATGCTTGTGCGCAGTCAATAAATTAATGTAGAAAAACCACAATCGTTTCATCTGCGCGGAACAATTAACTACAACGGTTTCATGCTCATAATCTGCGCGTGCGGGAAGTCGCGCGGGTGCGCTCGTCTGCGCGTGCAGAGTCGCGCGAGTGTGCTATACTATTCATTGGAGCAAAAACCACAACCGTTTCGTACAGGATTGACTACAAAAGCTCCAGCCGGCGTTCCGGGGTCACTCTGATCTTCCTTCAGAGCGAATAAATCTTTCGCCTTTTACTAAAGATTTCCGTGGAGGAGGACACACTATTAGTGTGGAATAATTTTTTTTGCCCCTCTCCGAGGGTAGAATAAACTGTTAAAGTTAATGAAACATTCATTAGCAGTAGACGATGCACTTGAAGTTGTTAATATACACATAAAGGGTAGTTGTTACTATACACGTAAAAAAGGCTGGTAAGAACAGACGTATGGGTTTGAAATTCTTGTGCTGACTGCTGTGTGATGAACGGAAGTTCCATTTGAGTGCTGCAGGGAACTGAACAAAAACTTCTCTCTAAGAGTAGACTAATTCCCTTACATCATGTTGGTGAGACGGGCTTTTGACATGCTGATGTCATGGTTGCTGACACCATTCTGAGCAGTGTCCCCTGATGAAGGGGCGGCCCCATTTGACACAGTTGCCCTAGTTAATCATAAGCCAAACAGTTACCTCCATACATTAGTCAGTTATTCACATAACTGTATACACACTTGATATTCTGTATATTATATATACCTTCTGGTAGTTGGGGGTATCAGAATGTATGGGAGACTCTGTAGTTGGTTCACCATCCAGCTGTGGTCTGATAGAAAGAGGGAGAGAGTGACCTATTGGATCCTGCACACACACAGAGAGAGACCAACTGCAATAACCCTCGCTGCGCATGCATGCAGGCGAGGGTTAACAAGGCTATAGCTACAGGAGCAACAACACTTTAGTAACAGCTTTGGACCCTTAGCAAAGTGCTCTTCCATTTTTTATAGCAAAAACAACGAAGATGTATCGTTGATGCTCATCTGGTGTATAGTGAGATGAACCAACCTCTCTGAGAGAACGCTGTTTGTCTGCTGAGGACTAGGGACACTGGTAGGAGCTGGTCGTATTTCCCTGCTCCACCTGGAGGCCAGACACTGCTCTTTCATACGGCTGGGCCACCCTGCAATCAGAGAGTAATCAAGTAAGGATAGTAGCAATGGTGATACTGCATATGCAGTAGAGAACATAATATGACAAGTCCTACCTTTGGAACACCACTTGAGAGGGTTTTTAAGGAAAATCACTGCAAACCTATGTACACACTTAGTGGTAGGTCTCTAGGCCCTAGCTGTATTCTGACTCTCAGGCATGTGAACCATTAATATTTTAGGGCACATCTGTGGGAGTGTATACTGAAAGACATAGTATAAATAGATGTGTGCACTAAATAATTCACCTCACCTGGTGGTAATGGGAGTCTCAGTGAGGCTGGTCAGCTGCATGTAGTTGACCTCCTGAAGAAGCATGTCACCAAACGCCTGTTTCAGCTCAGAGAAAGACGGCCACCACTCAGAGGGCTTCTTCCACCAACACCTTATCATTATGTCATAACTACAGGGGTTAACCATACAATCCAGGCTATGTTTGCACATGAGAGCAAAGTATACTAAATGGTCTTGCAATTGCGAGAAAACTTGTTACTCCTTGCTGAAGGGATTACTGAACCCACAGGTTTAGTAATGAATAATGATGATTTTTGTATAACTACTAAGAAATTAGTGGTAAGTGATTCTCAGTTACGTGGGATAAATATGCTGCAAAGGAATACTCTAGGCAGCAATATGGGTTTGTCAGTGGTGAGGGAATGAGTGATGACCAGCGAGGATGCTCACATTTCGTTTGCGCAGCCTGGTGGCTGATCCAGCCTCTTGTCCTGCTGCAGATAGTCCAAAACCTCCTCATTGTTGATGGTCGGATATGGAAACCCTCCTGTATAAACCAAAGTTTGTGTAAGGAGAGTAGAGAGTGCACTAGTAATGACATGGGAAAATGATATCATACAGGAAGTGGGACCAAGAGACTACTAATACGGCTAAACAATGCTTGAAGTCATGGATACTGTTAGTTACTACCAGTCACAGCCACCCACTACAGTGAGGGTGGTAGGAATGGAAGCTGGGGCAAGATAGAGTGTGATTTATATGATGTTGATCATGCTGTATCACTATACTCTATAAACAGAAACCCCATATCATCCCCAACACCACACCTTTGGTGTAGGTCTAATATCAAAATGAAGGAGTGTATTTTGTCTGGTTACTAGTCAGCCGTAGCACCTTTCACAAACATGCACCCACACGCAATCCACTTCATTCCCCGGGGAGTAGTTATATAGCTGGACCAGAACTAGTAAATACAAAAAGGAAGTCGGGCCATTTGACTCTGTCACCAAGTATAAAACAACTACAGACCTACCCTGAGCTCGGAGAATGTTGTTTACCAGTGTTGCAAATATAAAATGGCGACATGTTGAGTACAGTACTATTAACCTAGAGTGGCAATTTCCCACAGCACAACTCCATAGGACCACACGTCAGACTGAACAGTGAAGACCCTGTCATTAACGGACTCAATAGCCATCCACTTGATGGGGAGTCTGCCAGAGGTGGTCTTGACGTAGGCGTCTCCCTCTGACACCACTCGAGAGAGACCAAAGTCAGCAATCTTGAGAGCCTTCCCTTCCCCCACCAGAACATTGCGACACGCCAGGTCCCGGTGTACTATCTCCAGACTGGCGAGGTACTCCTGCAATCAGCCAATCAATGAAGATGGCATTAGGAGAATTTTACCTAGAAGCTTAGTTCAGCATGCTAATTGACTCTATCCATAGAATGATATGAAACGAAACAACAACTGCAATAGCTCAACCATTCAAAAAGCGAAGTGTATATGCTTTGCTATGAGTCGCATTCTTTACACCACACAAGAAATTGCGACACTTCCCACAAATAGTCCCAGTTGTAAACCACAAATACCTAACATGGCTCCTCTCGTGGGTGTAGAGCCGAGACTAGGGAATCTCTACACTAGCTATACAGTCAATACATAGAAAAGTCTAACTGATGATTCAGTTGACCGTCTGCATGCAGTCACGTCCAGGTGACATAGCTTAGCAATACTCTGTCACTAGCAGATAGTTCCTTACCATCCCAGAGGCGATCTGGTGAGCAAACTGCATTAGATTCACTGGTTGAATCTCCCCAAGCTCGGCATACGGACTCTCCTTTGGCATAGACACCACTGATGCCATCTTCTGCAAAATACAAACACCAACCCGACTAAAATGTACACATCTTATAGAGAGACAAGAGGTCAACCTCATAAGGTCCGAAACCGTCCTCATCTTTAACGTCAACGTCACCTTCATCGACCTGTCTTTGCTTGATCATGCACACATACTGATCTCCCTGCAATCCAAACACACACAGGGAGTGATTCGTAAACTCTGAAACTATATATTTACACTCACCTCATTCTCTGAGAGTTTCTTCAGACCATGTTGCCTCAGTGAAAGCTGCACCGCAAAGAGACAAGTGTATTCAGATTATGTTTAACCCCGTATGCAATAGAACCTCGCTTACTTTTAAACATCACGTATTTCTACTATATAGCCACTGATATTCTCTTAATAATTTTAAGTTATGTAAGACTCTCTAACCTCTTTCTTGATAGAGTGAAGATATGACTGGAGGTCTCCGTACTCGAGATACTCAATCACAAGGCAAAGTGGTTCTTCGACAGTCACGCACCCAATGAGTCCCACGACATGCGTGTTGTTACCTTTGGCCACTTTCTTCATCATGTCTATCTCATTCACAAAATCTCTCCTTTCGTTCGAATCTGCCTTGGCTGTTAAACACACACAGAGTGAGTTTGATTTACACCTAGTAAAGATGGGAGGCGCTTACATTTGAGGTATTTTATAGCGACGGTGGTACAGACCGCTGACTTGAGAAGCTTAGATGATTCTATTGGACCTCGCACGAATCCCTTGTGGACCTCTCCAAACGCGCCCTCTCCCAGCTCGGATTCTCTCACCAGGCAGCTCGACGGTATCTCCCACTCGTCTTCCCGTGGAATGAGGTTTCGTAGCTTGTGCGAGTTTGAACCGTGTCGACTCAGACTCCAGAAAAGTGGGTCGCGTTCACCCTGTGAGACACATAACACTAATAATACGGGTCACGAGGAGTTGTTAAAGGCAACGGGTGTGTTTACACAGGCAGGTATTGGTCAAAACTAGTTTTGAAAACGGATGCTGAAAGTTTATTTATACCTTGAAAACAGCCATCATCTTTCGGCGCCTGTGAGACAAGTAGCAGCAACACACCATCACCGCTGCAATTCCCAGGAGCAGCACGGCGCCAACTGGTACAACGACCAAGGCAAACACTGGCAGAGGAAGACCACTGTCTTCTTGTCGATTGCGACTCCCGAGAGCATTTATGGTGAAATCTACGGGAATGAGCGGAAAACTGAAACTTATTGTATTACAGAGTTTTTAAGGTACATACTGCAGTTTGAGAAATCCTTTGCCTCGAGTGGGATCAAAAATGGATCGCTGAAGTTCCCCCAGATTATGTTTCGGGTCCGAATCTGTCAAATATAATTGAGTTAGGCCATATTTTAGTTTATATCATACTGTATGCAGTAGCTACCTGGATAAAAATGTGCTTGGCGTTTTCAGGAACAAGAAGAGTTTCGTTCACAATCTTGATCGAAGTTTTGTTCTAAGATGAACAATATTTCTAATACACACAAAATTTTATTATCGTAACCACATACCACAGTAGCAGTTAGGGGGTTGTGGATCCCAGTCCTATCAATGTCCCCACTAATAGAGACCTCATACTTATTGCCTCCACGGAGGAGCTTTGGTGGTTCCCAGCTAAACCCAATACTTATACTGTACTGCGTCTTATCCTCAGGCAACGGCTGAAGGACTAGTTTGGTGTCACAGTCTAGTGCGATTGTTGCTATCTGTCCCGGTGGTAAGGCTTTTGAGTTCAGGACACACTCCTGCTTGCCGGGAATTATTCCACTCCTCCACCAATAGACAGTCAAGTTGGGCAGAAAGTTAAGCTGTGACGAGACAACACCACACATTAGTGGATCGAGGAACATATCGCTATAATATACTCACTTGAAACTCATACACATTTTCATCGTGATCAAAAACACAGAAGTTGTTAAGGACAACACTTTCAGAAACTACTCCACTCTGCATAGAGAGGTTGAATGCAACTGAGTAACAAAAACAAGGAGCATTCATAACCTACCAATATAGTTTGGGTGTAATTGACCGTGCTCCTGTGTTTATCATCGCAAAACAACTTTACCATTGGGATTTGTTAGCTCAAATGAGCTTATCTGGAGTAGAAAGCATTTCAATTGTGTAGCAACCGATCTTAAATATTACCGAGCAGTAAATTTACCTCTGGGTCCAGATCTATGTTTCCTGCTTCGAAATCCCTATCGGCAAAGGATTGGAGAAACATCGTCTTTTTCAGAATCACATCCTCAACGATAGGGTTGTACTCATAGTTCCAATTTAAATGTGCGGTGAGCAATCCAGTGATTGTGTCGATTTCTCCCCTGCAAGAGTAGTCCACGGGCGGTCGCATGGAACCAGTGGGCGTATTACAGGTTAAGGTACGTGGAGCTGAATATGTACCCACTTTTAAAGAATAAACCAGCTGTGCAAGAACGAACAACGAAAATGAGTACTTGTGTCTATGCAGTATAATCTTCTATGTACCGTGACTTGGTAGGAACATTCCCCAGACAATATGCGAGGTCCGAACAATGGTAAATGGTCTGGGTCGGGAGCAGACAACTCATAGCTAGTGACATTCTGAAATAAGTTTGTCATTGTAAGACGTTAGATTGGGTTCTGGTGGTAAACGTTTGTGTTACCGTCGGTAGATTGACTGTGTAGCTGTCCGGGAGGAAAGGAAATCCACAGACCTCTGGCTGACTCACAAATCATTCGGAGGTATTGCTAACACCTTAATCTGCAGACTCTCAACGTTAGCTGCAGTATAGTGTTCACGACTCTGGTAAACGTATCAGAGGAATATTGAGAGTAACTCACGATTAACAACTCTCTTCCAATCGAACTGCATCACTGAATGACCTTCAAATCCCGGTCGCAGATCCTCAGCAACAGACGTACGACCAAAATCCACTACAGCCATGAGACAACAATGATACAGAGCATTTATATATTATACGTAGATTGCTACGTCATATTATTATACCTCCGTGAACGAATATAGACAACGAGGGAGAGAAGTTGGAGGGGTTTTTCCATTAACTACTGCTAGAGAGATTTGAACTTCCCTGCAGTAGAAGTAACTCAGATCAAGAACATCACTCAGACTTGACTGCAGAGGACAAAAAGTGTGTAGCGGGTATATTGCTACATGACGGTTGAACTTACCTGTAAAATGTAGTGGTTTTCATTTATACGGAAGAGAAAGGCTGACACTTCATCTGAAGGCTGAGTATTAGGAGCAGTCGCAGAAGTGACTCTGAATCGTCCACTCTCATCTTCTATGGGTGTCAGGGAAAAGGAGGTGGGGGCATCTGGAGGCGCATCTGTAACAGACCAACAAAATCAGCGGTAGTAATCAACCAGTTAACAAAGTACAGTCAACATACACTAAGCTACACAGTTGAATGTTCACCTTGACTGAGGGAAATTTCACATCCCCTTTGGCAGGAAGTTGCACTCTGTCCAACAAGAACCACAAAATCTACAGGTCTGTTCAGTTTCAAAATGCTCAGTCAACTTACACACTCTGACTCGCAGGTGCTGCTACAACTCCGAGTGCTGGAACAACTTTCGTTGCATTCATTTACCTAAAAATGTTGTTAAAGTATTCTATGAAGCACTGGTATATATGGTCCGAATGTCGAATTGTTATCTCACAATTCTGAATTCCAGCAAAACCACAGAGAGTAGTTACTATGAACTTACACAGTTCTCAGTGCAGTTTTCTTTTCTCCCCAGTGTACATCCGAGAACACACTCTCTCACCTGTGAACACAAACATATTTAGTGTAGTTGAGAGTGACAAATTCCAGCATAGTTTGTGGACTGAGTTTACTTCTACAGGTGCAGGTTTTATCATACCTTAGAATACTGAGTACAATTTTGAGCCATCAATTCGTCGACTGCTAAAGCTCCTCCATAGTCCAAAATCGGTCGTCTGTAACAGAGACCATGCACACACATCAATTAAATCTAAACACGGCAAGTTTTTTGCTTACTGCTGCAAGTCCATTTTCTCCCAAAACCTACAAATTTGGTTGCAGAGGAGACAGAGAGTGAGCAACTAGAGCTAACGTTCGTAACTCTTGCAAACCTTTTCCAGGCAACTGACAAGACAGCGTCCCTCGCGTCTTAGCGGCGAGAGGCGATCTGACGGTGCGGCTTCTTCACTCCAACTCCCCGCGCACGATGAGAAGGCGCTAACACACTGGCCGTCAGTATCCTGGGCGTAGCTCGCGATAATTATGGCTCCAAGAGCCAAGAGACGGGGCGACATCTTGCAGCTTTCTGAATCTGAGTGCGGTGCGGGACACTGACTGCGTAATTTTATTGCGCCGGAAGCGGCGGGGCTCTATCAACCACGCATGCGCATGCAGCGGCGATTGCTCTAAGAAACGCTCGTCGTCGGACAGAATGCACTGCGGAAACGTCGCCATCATTTTAAGAGTTCACTACTGCACAGCCTGGAAAACTCTTTCAACATGACTCCTTTCTCTCCACTGCTTGTGACCATAGCATTGCTCTGCATCTCACAGAAAACTGCCACAGCAGCCAATTCTGACGTTGAATGTGTGCAACCTGCAGAGAGCTTCACCAATGACCCGTTTACGAGTCTGGCCGAACGGAGCGCTCGCTGCCTCGCAGTGTGCAGTGAAGAGGTCAGCATGGCACAACATTGTACGTACCTTGTTGATACCGGTGTCTATTGATATGCAGTTAGACGGGATTGGAGATGTGAGTGACACTATTGTTATGGTGTTGTATTCCAGCTTTTCTAACTAAAGGCACTTGTGAGCAGTTTTGGAATATGGACATCTTTGGACAGCTCAGTTTTACAGTCGCAGAGCTGCCCGCGCTTCTATGAGGTAGATAATCAGTGGGTGATCTCCTGTTATCCGTTTGAAAATCATTTTAACAGACAAAAGAGTGCCAACTGGGATGTTTGCTACGAAGTAATACACTGTCAGACTCTACTTGTATGGACACATGCGTAAGATACCTTTATTCAGTATTAGGCCAGTTTGATACGATTTGCACCATGTCTGTAGCTTGAGCAATGCGAGGGCGACTGCTCTGCCACCATGAATTGTGGGGGACCTTGCCTCGAGCAACGCATCTGCGTAAGTTGATTTATTTATTACGAAAAACCAACACACTCCTTTGCAAACCCACCATTAAACTATATACCAACTATATCTCTTTTACAATTAATTTCCATGGACAACAGAGGGCTACTTGGTGCAGAGCAGGCTGTGAAGCGGCGGCGGCACAAATCGACAATAGCACTGGTGTGTTTCCGGAAAAATTAGACTGATTCACGTTTTAACTTTTTCTGCCGGCAGTAGGTTCTGTACGTGTCCCAGCAACACCTGGAGTTTTCATGCAACAGCCAATACTGGAAGAGGCCGGCCATTTCAACATCACCGCAGTGGACACATCTACACTGGCACCAGAGGAGGGGACTTCAGCATTTGTGTGGAGAGTTGAAGCAGCAGATAAGACCCTATATGTTCTACAGGTAGCCTTATTTTGTACTACAGTTGTATGACACACTCTATATAGCCTTTATTGACAGAATACCTCTAAGGAAAAAATGTTTTATAAATTCCCCTTCTGCTACTGTGGTTCATAAGGTTGTTTTTCAACACTGCTTCAGTCGAGTTTGACAGAGGCTCTGGACCTGAGTTTCTTCTCCTGCCAGACAGTTACCATCTCTCTGGCAGTTGTCAACAGAAATGGCTCCTCTGAGTTTACCTCTCCAACCACCGTCTGTGTCCATGGAGGTAGCTATTGCTGTTCACAATCTATGAACTATGATCATATGAGGCTCGGTGATTTTCTGTAGTCGCAGATCCACCCTCCGCTCCTCGCAATTTCGAACAAATCTCAACAGTGGACGATCCTCGACCTGGATTCCTGGGGCATGCAGTCATAATGTTAGAGTGGGGCCGCCCACAACAGAGTATGCAACACATTACCTCTCAGGTTGCCTCCGTACAAAGTGTCCCATTATTATAGGAGCCGCACTCACTGGGTATCTGATGGATGTTTTCCCAAGGCCAATCCAATCATTTCCAAATAACCCATGTGGGGTCCGGACCATGTACTCGATTCCCAAGGTATAATGTATTCTTATACGTGGTACAGTGTGTACGTCTCACTTACGGCATCTATTTTTACTTGCCTTCCTTTGAATATTAGTGGTGGCTGTGCATCTTCTCTCTCTCTCTCTTCTTTCTCTCACTCCTACAGACTGCCACTAGCTATGTGCTGATGGCAGAAGAAGTGGGTCAGATCCCTCAATTTGGACCACTAAGTAACAGCTCAGTGCAGCTACGTTGTAACGGTATAATTTATACGCCTCGCCAATACACAGCAACAGAGATTACAATATCATAGCTTATGACCAGAATGATCAAGGGTGTAGATAATGGAAAGCGCCCCCCTCCCCAGTTTCTTGAGACTACAAGCAATCCCCTATGTATTATCACCTCAAACACAATTTTGGCATAGATATATAACAGAATCACTAGTAGCTACTGAATGCTTATAAAATGCTGCCGGAATGCCTCAGAATCAATCCAAGGGTGCAATTTTTCAAGGGAAGCATGCATATTCCTAACTTCTCTAAGAATCCCTGAACATTCTCATCGAGATTTTAGAAACATTAGCCCCGCCAGTCGATGAATGTTATCTACACCCCTGCAATGAACTTGCTGCTCTCTCTCTCCTGTTTAGCTTCACTCGCTTCCAGCTATTTCAGACAACAATGTTCAGATCAATGTACGAGTAGAACCAGAACTTACATCACCTCTGATGCCCAGTGTAACACAGACCTGTGCCAAAACACTAGACCCACCTACTGGAATAGTCGGAATATCCACAGACTACTCATACGAGTATAACCCTCTCATTGAAGAGGCAATTATCGGGTATGATGTTCAGGTTCTTCATATTAATGCGGAGGACAGGACTGATCTCCCTGTGATATCCATCACGTATGACTCAACTTTAGAGACACTCATTGAGGTAATCATCTTCAGTGGCATTATAATGCAAACAAGCCTATGCTTTGCCTATAGATGCGAGGGACGGGCAAATGTCCTGGAGAAGGAGTTTCTGTCAACCTTAACAGGACTGTTGAGGTAAGAATTTTAAATGGGACATTATTATAAGTTTGACTCAGTACGCGTGAAAACGTGTTTACTCAAATCTCGTAGCAACTTGGATTGAGTTTACTAAGGATCCTTCGGGCTTCTAACATGCATCGATTTCACTGTCTCAATGAACATCAACATTTGTTTGTCTTGATGTTCTATTGCAACTGTTCAGAATGGAAAGGGTCGTGGTTGGCGTGACTGTGAGTGACCTCTGTATCTTAGAGCAAAGACCAGCTGGAGACTTTTCATCACACTACCAACTAACAGTAAGCACACACAACATTGTATTTACTCACACAAAGAACGAGAAAAAACTTGCTCGTGTTGTTCAAATGCAGCTTAACACTGAAGTACAGTTGTGATACAAAAGTGAAATAATGTGTTGCTAGCTGATTGAGGCTTGAATCTATAAGCTGTCGATGACTTGTTTGTCTTGATGTTCTAGCTGACTCCAATGTTGAATGAATCTGAAATCTGGTGGAGACCAATCCCTGGGTTTCCTGCCTGCAAAATTGAAGGAACAACCGCGGCACCTTCTCCAGTCCTTCAAGAAAGTATCACAGTTCTAGAAGACCCGCCATTATCGCTCGTTAACAACGGAGGCTCCCAATACCAGCTGTCATTCAGCCTGGCCTGGGATCCACCTCTACAGAGATATGGAGCTGAGGATTACGAGGTTTATGTCGGGGGCCAACCAATTAGCGAGGAGAGTTACAGTGGATTTGTTGCAACTACAACGGTTTGAATTGTTGTCAAATCTGAAACATTGCACCTTTCTCTCTTTCCCTGTAGGAGGGGAAAACAAATGAAGCCCTGACAAGGATTATTGAGTTACAAGATGGACAGGAAGTCTACCTCCAGGTAAAAACCTATAATACCGATCATTTATCAACTCTGTAGATTCATGAATTCTTTCTACCAGTCATTTTAACTCTCCAGTAATGAATTCTTTGTGTATCAATCATTTTATCCATAACTCTGCAGATTCGCTCCTGTAATGGATACTTTGTCAGCAACTGGAGCTCACCTGTAAACATCACTGAGCCACTCTCCACTACACCGCCCCCTGGTGGCAGCACTTCCGGGGGCCTACCGACTGCAGTGGTAGCTGGTATTGCAGTGGGCGTGGTGGTGGCTGCATTAGTAGCTGCCGTGGTAGTGGTTCTAGCGGTGCTCATCTGTCGAATCTACCACAGGAGAGCAAAACTGCTCAAATCACTGGAAGTAAGCTTACACCTCGGCTTCTTTGGTCCGATAATTACAGAATAGTGGTTAAGGTGTAAGTGTGGAATCCTTCTTAGAAACTCAGCTAGATGTGCATTCTGCTTCCACGTCTTAGTAAACATTAATGGGACTATGAAGGTTGTAGTATAATATATAATATAGCTATACACACTGAGTTTTGTAAAAACACAGTCACTACTTTGAAAGACAAGCTGAAAGTGTGTCTGTTTATAAACCTGAAAGTGTTCTAAATACACCACACATACAACATCCACTGTGTTTCCAGGGAGGCGCTGAGGATTCGTTGTTCCTCCGCTACCGAGTGGAACGTGCTCGCTCAAACAGAGACCACATTCGAAACCTCCTCCCAATGGACGACGAGTGGGAAATCCCCCCAGTGGCTCTGGACGTTGAGAAAGAGCTCGGGGAGGGGGCTTTTGGTGAAGTGTACAAGGGAGTTGTCCGAGGTCCCATCCCTGGCTCACGAACCATGAAAGACAGCATTGGTAGTGTTGTTGCCATCAAATATTTGAAAGGTACACCTAAAAATTTTGCCTTTTATACATTTTTCTAACAAAAACATTTACAGGAAAGGCTAATCCGAGTGAGCGGAGAGACTTTGTGAATGAGATAGAGATGATGAAGAAGGTGGCAATGGGGTCAAACCCTCACGTTGTGGGTTTGATTGGCTGCGTGACCCGCGAGGAGCCGCTCTGTTTGATAATTGAGTACCTCAAATATGGAGATCTTCGCTCTTACCTGCACTCTATCAAGGAAGAGGTAGTGTGTTAGCTAACTAGAAGTACTTAGACAACCGTAAGACAGGGGTTGGCTATTGTTTAAGGGGCAGCCACGCAAGAAATCTCTGTATGTACTCATTTTGTGTGGTCAATAGTGAAATTGAAAGTTTAACGCACTGCTTGGCAGCGTTGCTTTTTAATTTTCTCGCCTCTCTAGCTGGCAATGAAGAAGTATGTGAAAAAGCTGAAAGTAGCCGAGAGTGTGGATGGGAGCTATGTGACAGAGATTGGCGGGGATGAAGGAGGTGAAGGGGATTATGTGAACAACCCTCAACCATACATTGTATGTTCCTCGTCCCACCTTTACGCCACTGTATTGTAACTATCTCCCCTCGTGTTGTAGAAGCCAGTAAGGACTGAGGCTCACCCCTACCTGGTAAGAACCACCACTAAATCTCTTTTCCATTCTAATTCAGCAATGTCACTATCCAAGTGTGCCACCAAGATACTATATAGGCATGCGTTGAAAAACTGTTTGTATCCATACCCGCTCCTATAGTGGGTCCATACTTCTCTTATGGATGTCTAGGTTCTTCTCTATGCGTGTCAGCTATACCTCTCTTATGGGTGTCAATATTATGTGTGTGTGTTGGGTCCACAGAAACCTGTGTCGGCAGTTGCAATGCCAGAGGAGAGTCCCTATGCCAGTCTTGGGGACGTGGAGCCAGTCAATCTGGTCTCCTTTGCCTACCAGATTGCTGCAGGAATGGTACATTGCTAACAACTCGTAAACAAGTTGCTTATAGCTACTCCATAAATGCCATAATAATTATATTACTAGGCGTACTTTGAGGAAGGCCCCTCAGTGTCTAGCACTTGAATGACTTATTTTCTCACTTAGTTCAGTGTATATTCAGTTGGGGCTTTAGGATAGGGGAATGCCTCCATAGTTAGCATGTATATACAGTTTACATGGCTATGCTACACGGCAGAGAGAAAAACTATGAGGTTTGTTTACAACATTTTTGCTTCAAATGTTGCCTCTTCATTGATTGGCTGATTGCAGGAGTACCTCGCCGGTCTGGAGATAGTACACCGGGACCTGGCATGTCGCAATGTTCTGGTGGGGGAAGGGAAGGCTCTCAAGATTGCTGACTTTGGTCTCTCTCGAGTGGTGTCAGAGGGAGACGCCTACGTCAAGACCACCTCTGGCAGACTCCCCATCAAGTGGATGGCTATTGAGTCCGTTAATGACAGGGTCTTCACTGTTCAGTCTGATGTGTGGTCATTTGGAGTTGTTGTATGGGAGATTGCTACACTCGGTGAGATTTACCTATACAAAGCCTCACTTAATAAGATAGTGATTGTAATGTTTAGGAGGATTTCCCTATCCGTCGATCCGTAATGAGGAACTGAGGGAGTACCTTATCCACGGAAACCGGCTGGAGAAACCACCAAACTGTGACATTACCATGTGAGACATCATTCCCCATAGCTACCAGCTATTTTTACACGTAAGCACTGGCACAAGCAAGTGCTGCCACAAGCTTTTTTACTGGGTTAGCTAGCTACCAAACCTCCAGCACCTCGTTTAGTTATGGATGTCGAAAAGCTTTGCATTTGACCATTATTAGAGCATTTGACCCATCATTGTGAATTTTGTCTTTTGCCTAGTTATGAGTTGATGGAGCAGTGTTGGCACGAGAATCCGGCAAAGAGGCCGTCATTCTCTGAGCTGCGAGCCTCATTTGATAGCATTCTGATGGAAGGCTCCTCCTACATTCAGTTCAGCAGCCTCACCGACACTCTGGCTGGGTACTATAGCTACACCACTGTTAAACTGATGTTGATTCATTGCTGTGGTATCCACAGGAGTGAGGGTCCACCGAAGTCATTGCCTGCGACTGGTAAAGCAAGCAACCCGTATGTGACAAACCCAAAGATACAGGGACAAACAGTCAAGGCCACACCTCTTGACACACCCACTAAAGATTCCGCAGCTGCAAATCCCAGGTATGAACGTCATAAGTTCTTTGATGTGCATCATTAATTATGGTCCCCCATCCAGTTCTGCTACAAATGAACCGGAAAGAGAGAGTAATGGGGCACCCATGCAATCACCTGCTGATGGGACTACGTCTTATACCACTGTGTTACCCAGTCCACAAAACATTTAATTAACTCTGTAGCTATTCAACCGTCAAACATCATATAATCACCACCATGCATTGAACGACAAGACAATTGCGCATGCGTAATTACGTATGAGCGCGGGCGGGGTGCCAATAATAATTGCCCGGTGTGCGTGCATAATCTCGAGCTCGCATGTGCAGTGTCCTCTAAGAGTAGTAGGATTAGTCGGCAACAAGATGTCACTACTGTTACTAGGATTAGTACTGAGCCTGGCGAGTGCTCAGTCTTCTGTCGTAAACTCGTGTTCGGGCCGCGGGTCGTGTCAGCGGCACCTCCGGCCGCTCGCTCCGTCAGATTCTACGGGAGACACCTCGGAGGACCGCGTTCTCGGCAGACTACTTTGCCACCTGGAGTGTCTGGACAGCGTAAGAGACCAGGTAAGTATACGGATAGCGAGAAGTGAGATTTTCAATAGCTATATTATGATGACCCGACAATATTGCACTGACGTGCATACGAGTGATCCATTTGCATGGAAATGCAGCATTCACGAACAGTGGTAAACCTGGAAAAGACTGGAAGGTGACACTAACCACAGATATGAGGCTGTTAGTATAGCAGAGTCCTAGCTGTCGCCTTGGTGAGGTGCACTTGCAGGAATTCACCGCAGGAAGTGAGGCAAGAGACAGGTCCCGCGGTGGAGTACCGTAGCTGCTTCCGCTGTAGAGGCGGTTGGATCAACACCTGGACTTCCTTCCCTTGAGCACTGTATAGCTATATCCAGTGATATCTGTGTTGGAGTGGGCAGGAGGCTTCATAGCTTGATTTGTTATGGAGAGAATCTGCATATAACAGACAACACAGTAGGTGCACTTTCACCCACTCTCCGATCGAAAGGCTCCAGAATCTGTCATTGCGTGTAAGGACTTAATACAGAGCTGGTACTTCACACACGTTGAAAGTCTGTGGGGGGTCTCCCAGTGCAAGGAAATGACAAACAGAGACCATAAGCAATATTTTCTGCCACATTGCATTGGTTTTGGCATAATAATTATGGTGGCAAGTCTGTGTAGAAAAAACATATTTTCCCAACTCACGTATGCATAATGAGAGCTCTATATATATATAAAGATAACTATTGACTGAGTCAATGAGCTCAGTGATGAGTTCCAGTAATGGTTCACACATGGTTTTGGTCAAGTGACTACTGCACTAGACCTGTGCCAGCTATACCCAAAAGGCTTGGCTGTGTCAGATATGCAAGCAGTATGCACATGTGTGTGTATATGTGTGTATGTGCATGTGTACAAACAAAGGCTGGCTAGACTACTACGGAGTCCAGTACTGTTTTCCTGTCCAAATCCCCGAGTGGCATAGCCACACATGTTAGTGGGAGTAGTGACCACCGTCATGTACGATAGTTCAACTACTACTAGCATTATAAAGTGTGCAGCAGCTAGTATTGTGCCACTCCACTGAGCGGACACAGCTAGTCTCATGTTGTGCTTACAACAAAACGTGGGACAAGGTATCTACAAATGCTAATAATAGCGGCCTTCCAGTTCTACTGTTCAGAAAAGGATCCTCTTATATACCTCTTCATGAAGGACACCTGAATATGGGACAGTTTTGATGTACCTTGTACACATTTTTTTAGGAAAACGGGCTCTCCATGTGTCAAAATAACTGCTCTACTTTCATGCACAATCCGGATGTTATCCAACCTACTGATCCCCCACCTGTCTCTGAGCCAGACCTGATGGAACGGAATCAGGACGGACTCTACGTCATCACCATACCTGGCATGATGTCAACAGGAAGTGATGCAGTGCTAATTGGGAGTGGAGAGACAGGAAGTGGTGGTGGATTAATGACAGGAAGTGAATCTCCTCATCTGGAGGTGTATGTAGTCAGAGTCAGCTGGCATGGAAACCATACCTATTTCCCACTTGTGAGTTGTTCCAGTGAGTTGTTCCAGTTCTCTGTTTATGGAGGATGAATTGGTGAACAATAGCAAGTCTTATCGAGTCAGTAGCTATACCCTCCAACATAAAAACTAGGACATTCACTTGACTGGAACCTGTGCTTTTAGTGTGTCGGTTCTTTTTGTGGACCTGGGCCTGCTATATACTCTCTCTCTCTCTCTACCTTCATCTCCAGACCTCGCGACAGGGAGAACTGGACTTGTCTCAGTTCTCCTGCTCCCAGATCAACGTCTCGTATGCGGTCCTATCATCGTCGTCATTAGGACTCTCTGACTATTCTCCCCCAGCCACCACCTGTGTCTTCATCCCTCTTGGTAAACACCCTTCAATGGAGCCATATAAGTCTCTCTGTACCAACTTTCACCTCTCAAAGCATACATTTTCGATAAAAAACGGAAGTGTACACAGGACACTGCCAATGTTTATAAATGGAAGTTCCATTGGTGCTTATTTTCATTTGACTTTTTGTTTCTCTATGTGTCCAGTGGATGCACCTGCAGCAGAGAATCTGACTGTGGTGTTTGAAGAGATTGCCGGGAGGAGAGACTTACTTCAACAGGCCAGGATCTTCGTTTCGTGGGACGCCCCCTATGGTCAGTGGAACCAGGGCAAGATGGGAGTTGTAGCTGGCCTTGTGCCTCTATGTACAGGCCCCAGCCATTACTATGCAGTGAGGGAAGACATGCTTTCGTATGGGAGTTGTAACAGCCTAGTGCCTAGTGCACCTTGACTTTCAGTCTTGGCTACACTTCTGGCAAAAATGGGCTATTCTTCCTAGAGGAGCATTTAAGGCAAAGTATTCCCATGATATCCTTGTCTCTCCAATGATACAAAACTGGAACGCTTTCAAGCACCAACACCTCTCTATAGCACCAAATGCTCGAAATTGTTACATTCTGTCAGACCCCACTTAGTGGTGGTATCTGGAGCATTCCATAGCATTAGTGCTGGGCCTTGAAGTTGCCCACAAACTGCATCCTGCATGCAAACCCCTGAGTAAACACTACTAGAGCTATTCCTACTATTTTGCTCGCCAATTATGTGGAGTGATATATCTGCCATAGATGCCACGAGAGTCCAGGCCTATGAACTGACTGTTAGTCTGACATCCACCGATGAGGACAGTTGCACGCAGAAAGCTCCATTTGTCTACGATCTTGATCAGGTACACACACATACAATACCTGAACCATTATGGTATTATGCATTAGTAATTAATTGATGTGATCACAGGGTCAGGCAAACATTACGATCGAGCCAACTGGAGACAAGAGCACATCTGTTCTCCTCATGTGTACCTATGACTTTGAGGTAATATTATTAGCTGCATAAAGAATGGAATAATGATGATGAGTTGTCTCTCATTGCAGCTCAATTCCCTACCAGGAAACAAGAGTGTGTCTCTGAATGTGCTAGTTGAATGTAAGCTAACTCAAGCTCTTTGTATAACAGGAACATGCATGTACAGCACCGGTGGGAAATTAAACCAAAAGCCATCTTTGAAATTCTGCGGATAAAAACATTTTACTCATGTGGCTGATATACTGGCCCACTGCATGCAAATATTGTTTCCCGTCAAATTCCTTCTATACAGCTAAATTACGAATTACGTATAACTATTCACACAGACTCTAGAAGTGACCGGAGATCTTTTGAAAAGCCACCAAAGTGTGACGGGAGATATGTGCCCGGGAGTGTCAGCTACAACCTCAGCATCTCGTGGACCATAAAAGATCGGTTGGTTCTGGAGGCAGTCGATGAATACAGTGTCTCTCTTACACCCTTACATTCTTCACTGAACCTCAACTTTCTTGCGCAAAGCACCAGAGAGAGTTTTGAAGTAAGGAGAAAGTCAAATGCTATGCATAGAGCTTATTATACTTTTTCAACAGGAGGGGCAGACTGATTTTGTGTTTTATTTCAACCTGCCAGTTGAGACAGAGAAACTATTAGTATTAATGACGGTACGTTGGTAGAATTTCGAGGTTTCAGGGCTCTCTGCAAAAGTGTACAAATTGTCAGTTGCCGTAAAAATTTTTTTACCCCATGGTTTCATGGTAAACAAGAGAAATTCTTTATAATACTTTTTCATACCATGTCTCCACGCATCACAATTTAAAATCCTCAGGTGCAGCCAATCAGACCTTCAAGAAATGACGACTACTTCTGGAGAAAAGTAATCGTACCTGGAAAAGGGGAGTGTGATGTCACAACAGTCGCACATCCCCCGGTCCAAATCTCACGCGCCAACGTCTCAGTCCAAATGTATCCCGTGTCGTCGAGCGTACTCAATTTCATTCTCACGTGGGCCCCGCCCACTTTCCTAAACGGGGACCTGGAGCGATACGAGATCTGTATCGGGGAGGATGGGGTCACGGGGTCAGCTACCTGTGTCCAGCCATCTGACTGTCTGTACCTCCACGCCAGTGAGAGTGACTCCGCCAAGAATCTGGTGGGCTGTACTCAACTCGGTGTAGTGGACTCGCCGCAGGAGCCCACCACTGACATTGGCTACCATGTGGTGGCCGAGACTGAACTACTGTTCCTACAGGTACACAGGGTACATACATAATGCTTATGGACCCCTTTTTTAAAGGACATTTTTGAACCTGGTTGATGGTCCGTTTTAGTTAAGTCATGGAAATAATTATGTTTGTTGAACACAAGCTGTTTGCTCCACTAACATTTCCGCCTTACCTTCTTCTACCAAATACAGTTTACGAAGACCTGTTTTATGTGAAAGAACTGCGTTGCAATGTTTGTGATTTTAGATCAGTATATACACATAAATTCTTAATGCATCATGTAGACACCTACCTTGTGTTTCCATTTTCTGTCAGTAACACATTAGCTCTTTTCCCCTCCCCTCCCTCCCTCTCTTCAACCAGATCCGTGGAGTAAACTCCTTCAATCTGCTGGGAGAGTGGAGCGATCCACTGCTCATCTACAACAGCTCATCCGATGCTAGTGGAGCACAGGGGAGCGGGTCAGAGGCCACTGGCAATAGAGAGTGGATCTATGTGGTGGTGTCCATGCTGTGTCTGGTAGTGCTGGCTCTAGGGGCCCTGCTGGTCCTCTGGGTCTACAGACACTTTTGCTTCCACAGGAGAATCAAATACGTGAGTCGTGTATGACAATTGGCGATTGAAGCAAGTTGTCTGAATTGTTCTAGACAGCTTAGTATATACATACTGCAGTGCGATATATAGCGTTAAAGTGTTTTAATGGTCAGTGTTGAGTGTGGTTTACACTGACTTGACTTGCAGGAGAACACGATGACGATGGAACGTATCCATGGAAACTACTATCCCCCTACTTTTATTCCAGTACGTTGGCCTTGTGTGTTTTGTAAAACAGTGACTCAGAACAGCTACTGCTTTTTATGCTTTGTATATACATCTGAGAACAGCCCTGTCACAAGAGGATTCTGCATGAATGAAATGATCCCGTCCCAATCCAGTAATTCATTCTAATACTAATATCTATTTCTTTGGTTTTGTAAGCATGTTTTTAATCCGTTATGCGCTACCCTCAGGTTGCTGATGATTGGGAGGTTCCGTCGGAAGACGTGGAGATATTCTACTCTGAGGAGTTGGGTCACGGGGCCTTTGGGAGGGTGTACCGCGGCCTCCTCCACTGCCGGGAGCTGCGAGACCTGGTGACCGGGGGGAGACGCAGTACGAGGAAGAGGGGGTCCTTCGGTCAGCGGAGACTCTCGAGACGCAAGACCTCGCAGAGCATGGGCAGTCGACTGGTGGCCATCAAGAGACTGAGAGGTCTGTGCCTCTCACATAAGGGTGAAAGATCCTGAAAAAAATTGAAGGGACTGTGGCAGTATAATATAAGGGCTAAATTTAGAAAATGTTACTAAGACCTAACTGCATTTTTGCACTGATGTACTGACGCCAACTCCCAACTCCCTTGTTTGGCTCCTAGAGATGGCAGCTAAACTATTATAGTTCATGTGCTTAATCTTGTATGCCTATATATCTGTTAGTGTTTTCATGCTACTTATAGTATTATGCTCCATGCTCTTGTTCTTCTCACTGATCACTAAACAGACAATATTGATGGGGCAGACAAGGCAAACTTCCTGAAGGAGATTGAGATGATAAAGAAGGTGTCTGGAGCCAACCACGACCACCAAAAGTTTGTAGTCAACATGCTTGGCTGTGTCACCGTCCAGGAGCCAATGATGTTGGTACTGGAGTACGTCACTCATGGCGATCTCCTCACCTACCTTAGAAACTCCAGAGAAGGGGTAAGACCCTGCCAATTAAGTGTAATCACTGCTAGTTATGTTCACTGCAATTGACTTGTGTTCAATGCAGGATGAAGGAGCAACTAACCCCAAAGCAGCTCCATACCTGGAGCCCAAGGGAGCTTATTCCAAACTCCCTCCAAGAGCACCAGGGCAAGAGGGAGAGGGGGAGGAGGAAGAGGACCATAAACTGACTGAAACGGATTTGCTCAGTTTTGCACGACAAATAGCAGCCGGAATGGTTAGATCCACGTCCACACACATCATACAAAAACACACTATGAAGCATAACCCGGAGAAAACTATTGTTTTCAACGAAGGTCCGGCAGTGTTTAAACACGGTACATTAGTGCTTTTAACTAGCAATTAAAGGGGATGTGAAACGGAAACCTCTTGCACTGGGCCCTATCCATCTTTAGCCCTTATGAACTGCCACATCCATTAAATTGTGTGACTGTTGAAACAGTCGCAGTCAGCGGATGAGTGTGTTCTCCTGCAGGAGTTCCTGGCAAGTCTGAGTGTGGTGCACCGTGACCTGGCCTGCAGAAACATCCTCGTCTGTGAGAACTCTCTCGTCAAGATCTCCGATTTCGGGCTCTCTCGGACTCTGGTGAACCAGGAGGCGTACGTCACCACAACGAAGGGGGTTTTACCCATCAGATGGATGGCTCCAGAGGCTCTCTTCTATCGGACTTTTGACACGCAGAGTGACGTTTGGTCCTACGGCATACTTCTCTGGGAGCTATACACTCTCGGTATAGTAACACTATTGTATTAAACTGATGGTATAATCTTCTTCTCTATTTCCATTCCAGGGGGCTACCCTTATCCAACGATGTCTAATCGTGACATAATCGACCTCCTATCCAGGGGATATCGTATGGACAAGCCTGAACTCTGCACTAATCAAGTGTGAGTTATGAAACTTTATGATGCATGGAACCCGTTAGTTAATAATGCTACTTCAGGGTGATAAAGCGTTGCTGAATTTTAATAGTGGTGCCAAATTGACCTAATGACTACCATGTAGCCAATTTGGTAGTGGGTATCTTGGTGTGATGTGGTTAAGGGTTTGGGGAGAAGGAATTGATGTGCAGATGTTCATGTTGCAGTATTCTTTCCTCCATCAGTTACAGTGTGATGCTTCAGTGCTGGAGCAGTCTTGGTGTGGAGCGACCGGATTTCCGAGAGCTCTACCTCGTGTTTGACAACATGTTGAGCGAGTCGACTCGCCAGCAGTCCCCTTACATCCAGGTCCTGGGCACCTGCTACTATGACAAACTGGGCCCCAGAGTCCAAGTCGATTCAGACACACTCGACCTTGAGAACATTCCAGCTAACGTGGACATGAGACAACTGACGACAAACAGTGCAGCACCCACAGCAGAGGCAGCGTTTGGAACCAGTCTCCCAGAGAATGGGAACGGATTCTTGAGCGTTTCTGCGGTAGCCCAGCCCCAGAGCCAAGACCACAGTGGAGCCTCTGCACCTGTTAACCAGGGGCTGGGTGTCCCACTTGATCTCTCTCGTCCACGCTCCTGGGTGGGGACGTCGACTGCAGAGCTAGGACCGCGCTATGTTCCAGCACCGCTCTACTGCGCTTCCCCCCACTCGAGTGTCAGTAACCTCACTCAGGAGACAACGTTTGGGAGCACTGCAGCCACCGTGAGTCCGGAACACGGACACAGACTGCTGTCAACACTCCAGAGCAGATCAGTGGGAAGTCTTCCCTTGCTCACCAACCCTCCCGCCCTTCATCAGACCACTCGCCTGTGATCATTCCCTCCAACAATTGTTTTTAAATGTGTGATAAGATGATTTTTGTAATCTTGCCAGTTATTTTCCTCGTATGAGAATGCAGTCGTGCTGTACTGTATGGGGGTACGCATAATCGGGTGGGGTGTGCATGCGCAGGTAGGAGACGTCGGATGATGTCGCGCGTGGAAGACCCATCATTTCGCATTCCCGATTCACAGCGTACTTATCTTTGTAGCTATTATACCTTCATTCTGGGCCCACGTTATACAGCTTGTTGTGCTGGAGTCGGCGGAGGAGCTCGGGGATTGCATCAAACCATGGAGCTGATGCGACTGCTAGTGTCGCTGCTGTTTCTGATGGTCTGCAGGGCCCAGGGTCCAGCGGCGAATCTGAGCGTCACGTTCAGGGAAGATACGAAGCATCTCCAGCATGCCATCTTTGATTTCACGTGGACTCCACCACCTGGTAAACTAGCTCTAACAAAATGTGCAAGTTTAGTTAGCAACACGCACCGTTTTCTCATCCATGACTCCAGACATTGATGTTCTTGAGGGATATCGACTGGTTATAGAGCACGCAGTCCCAGCCGATCCAGACAGTAACCAACACAACTGCAGCCTCACGCAGGAGACTGTCTCTGAGAATGTCTCACGAGTAAGAAAAAAGTTCAAGCAATAATTATGATATCGCTAAAAAGGAACTGATGTGTTTCTTGTGTAGGATGTGACAGAGTACAGGGTGAGAGCAGTTGATGCTGCCCCGACCTCTCTACCTATCTACACTTGCACGTACGGTGCCTGGGTAAGCTGTCATGATTTCAAACAATGGTAATGTGTAGTCTTTTTAATACCCATAGTTGGTGTCGCTACCTGGAGATAATATTTCTAACATCCTAAACATCTCAGTTAGCTGTAAGTGTATGAATTTCCACTTTTCATTCTTGACCTCCACTCTCTCTCTCTCTCTCTCTCTCCGACTACCAAAGACGATTCTCAAATGCAAATGAGTATAAGGAGAGTTGACTGGAGCTGAAGTGTGATAGTGTCTATGTCCCCGAGTTGATCATGCACAACATCACTCTGATGTGGGACCTGTCTAACCAGCATCCCTTGGCGAGAGAGGCTCTGTTGGCTCATGAGTTCAGAGTCGAAGCCAGCAACATTATCTTGAGATCTGCAGAGACAGTTGTTGTAGAATTTGACGTACAATCTCAGGTTTGTTTAAAGTTGCTATACAGTGGAACCTCAAAAAGTATATACCTACATAGTGAGACCTGCTAGTGTGTCCCTGAATTCCCAAGTTTAATGGGCAAAATATTATATATATTTTTTATTTGTATTGTTAATTATAAGAATACCACTGTAGTTTGTGACATACTGCATTCTAGTCTCAGAGGCTACTTCATCTTTGCAGGAAAATGTGACAGAAGTGGTAGCTATAACTGTTGCTCCATCACCTGCGGACCAGAATGATATCAAAGCAAGCGTAAGACATTTTTAAAACTCTCCACTAAAGCCTAATTATCTGTATAGGTGACTCCCAGAAGACTCGATAGAAACACCCAAGAGTTCTACTGGCGTGCTCCACTCCTTCCTGGGGAAACAAGTTGCTCACATGCCTTCAAGACACCTTACATTGCGCCAACTCAGATTGAAAGGGAAAGCATTAGTGTTGCAGGAGTCGAAATTACAGTTGGTCAGATTCGATTTGAAGTTGATTGGAATCCACCAATGTTTGCTAACGGAGAGCTGGCCCGTTATGACTTGTGTGTGAGGTTCAGTGAGGATGAGCTGGTGGGACGGGAAAAATGCGATACCCTCTCTCATCGTAAAGTGGCAGCGGACATGTCTTCGTACGTTCAGCAGCCTCTCCCCATAGAGGGACCACTGCTGGCTGTGCAGGTATAATTAAAGCTAGCTACCACACTTAGTAAGTACAGTTGAACCACCAAATACAAACTAGGTCACAATGATTTTTAAAACTATTTCATAAGTGACGAATTTTGCAGGTTCGTGCAGTGAACATGAATATTGAGAATCCAGCAGGGAACTGGAGTGAAGCTGTCATCTACAACACCACGTCGGCTCACACCCACTACTGGGAATTCACCAACTGACTCTAGTGGGGTGCCCCCCTGGGTATTTGGTCTGATTGGAGCAGTGATACTAGTGACGCTGATCTCTCTGGTGGTGGTGTTCATTTTCATTGCCTACAGACGCTACTGCTTCCACTGGTTCAGCAAAGTGAGGTCCTATAGCAATGTACACAGAATCAACAAGTGTAGGGCTACGTACCTGCATGCCGCATACCAGTGTGTGCATGTGTGATATATATCTGCATGCAAGTGTATGTGTGCATGTGTGAACTAACCATCTCTCTCTCTCACTGACAGGAAGATGAAAATCCCATTCATGATCCTCTACACGCACCACCAATGACATACAGACACAAGCAACTGGTAACAATTATACTGAAACCCAGTACAACTCTAAGCCAACATAATAGATCTACACTGTGCAACACTTCCAAACAATTCTTGCATGGCAATGAAATAATTCCGCTGTGGATATTGGCCTATGTAATAAGTATTACAGAACACGTCTTTACTGTATTTGCTAGCTATATAGTTTGGTGGTCCAAGAATGTCGTGTATTTGGAGTATGGATATATTAAGTGTTGTCTCAATCAATGTTTGTTAGGAGGTGGATGAGTGGGAGATAAAGAGGGGGGATATTGAGCTCCTAAACAAGGCACTGGGAGAGGGTGCATTTGGGGCAGTCTACAAAGGAATCCTGCAGCCAAAAGCCATGGAAAAGTTGTCTCGTCGGAGAAGGGGCTACAAAGGACGGTTCTCAATGAGTTGTGTGGTGGCAGTAAAAATGTTAAAAGGTACCTACATAACTCCACAAGTCCTACTAATAACTCAGACAATTTGTCTTCCTTCAGCTGACAATTTGGTAGCCTCGGAGAAGTTAAATTTCGTGAAGGAGATTGAGATGATGAAGAACGTGTCTGGAGGGGACAATGCAATGAGACAATATGTGGTCAACATGTTGGGCTGTGTGACCACCCAGGAGCCCATGCTGCTAGTCCTGGAGTTTATGTCCCATGGAGACCTACAGAGCTATCTACGCTCCATGAGAAAGAAGGTAGCTAATAACATTGTGTTTAGGAGAGAGAGAGTACAGTGTAATCTCGGAATCTCTTATAATGGACACATTGACAGATGTAGAGTGCAGCAATAAGTTTTAAACCTCTGACTATAGTAGTCCACTTCCATAATATTATAAAAAATGTTCGTGGTCCACTCCCTGCCAACCGCCACTGCGTTCCGTCAATAAATGGAGATAAGGAACAAGCGCCTGGAAGAACCGAAGAGAGAGTCCCACTGTATATACGTTTTCTTCATTTTGATGCTAATGTTGATTGCTGCAGTTGACTGAGGGATACTTCAATCCTGACGAGGCAGGACCCTATTTAGAGCCCAGTGGAGCGTACTCCGATCTGAAGCCTAGAGACGAAGAGTACGATCAGCTGGGAATCATCACAGAAAGAAATCTGGTGGACTTTGCCCGCCAGATAGCTGCTGGGATGGTGAGTTAGCCCTACTGCAGGGATGGCTGCAGGGATACGGTGGAACTCCTCTCTAAGGGCCGGGGATTACCGATGACTTAGTTTATGGGGAGTGTAATGTAACACGGTTGATAGAAATGCACATCGAGCGAGGTTTCTGTGTGTGTGTGTTTGCAACCTTCTCAGGATGGCAGGTGTACCCCATTAATGGCTTCTGTGATCACATATGTGACTCTACAAGTGACATTTCAACGATTCCAATATCCTGTACTGTACTGCATGCACTGCCAGTATTCACACACACAAATACCAAAACCTTCATGTCATACGCAGGTCGATGAAAAGCTTCTGCAAATACCGTTTTGCAGAGTTCTATTTCCAACTCACTTTTTTCCCCTAATTGGCAAGCAAAAGCGCACATTCCAAGCCGTCTGAATTAATGTTTCTTATAATTTATCATCACTGAGAGACTTAGCTACACTGATGGCTTAAAAATCTCGTGAAAGGCTTCCCTGCAATGTTTCCAGCTATGCTATAGTTACACAGGTCAAAACCCACTGCAGGAATACCTGTCCAGTCTGGGAATACTCCACAGAGATCTGGCCTGCCGCAACGTTCTTGTGGGCGAGGGAAAAGCTCTGAAAGTATCTGACTTTGGGATGTCGAGGCTCCTCCCACCTGACGAGGTGTACGTGCCCACGTCTCACGGGACCCCTTCCTCTGAGGTGGATGGCCATCGAGGCCCTGTTCTACAGACATTTCACCACCAAGACCGACGTCTGGTCTTTTGGGGTGCTTCTCTGGGAGATCTGCACCATGGGTAGGTGCCTTTCTTTATAGCGGGTTGCGATGTAGAAAACCATGGTAAAGTACTAGATTGTAAGTGCACAAGTGCTGGTACAGATAGAGGCTTTGATATACAAAGCTTGTTGTATAGTTATACCATTCTTGGGAACTTCTTCAAAGCTAAATTAATATACAATGACTTTGAGAGTAAAGCTAGAAACTTCCATGATTAGCTACGATTGTTTTAATTTCGCAGGGGGATTTCCCTACCCAACGACCTCTAATCACGACCTGCCAGAGATGCTGAGGTCTGGCTACCGCATGGAGAAGCCAGAGACATGCTCACAGGAAGTGTGAGTGCCTATGTACCTCCCAACCCTTGGAATCCAAGCCTCCCGGCCTTTATACTATTATTGTGTATTTTTTCTGCACTATTTGATTTGTAGAGGGAGGGTTTGATTAACATCCCTACCCAATCACACTGGGCTGCAAAATTTTGCAGGAACTGAAATTTAGAAGCATGTTTTATATATACAACTCAGCAGCTTGGGAGCCCAGGCTTTCTATGTGTGCACTTTTGAATGCCCCACACAATAGAGATTTAAATAGGGAGGTGGATATAATCCCACAAGTGAAGAAGTTCATTCCCACCTCTCCAGCTATGAGGTAATGCTGGACTGCTGGAACCAAGAGGCAGGAGAGAGGCCAACTTTCCCTGAGCTCCACAAGACATTTGACGATTTTCTCACACAGCAGACACAAGACAACTACCCCTACATGGAGGTCCTCTCGAAACCATACCACCTGGACGATACTGCCAACCCCCCGGCGACAGACGAAGATGCCACTCCTATTAATCTCGACATTGAGATCACAGACGTAGATGGAGATGATGAAATGCACCCGTCCGTACCAACAGCGTCGCGACTGACACGAAGCGTGTCGCAAAACAATCAGGGAAGAAACAACCTGGGGCTGACCCTCAGTACGAGCAACTTCTCCCTGAGGAGTCTGCAGGTGCAGGGCTCTCTCCAGGACATGCAGGCAGAGCTGGAGAGGCAGGCAGACTGGCCACTTGCGGACCAGGATGGTGGTCGCGAGCTACCAGACACACGCTACGTAGAGTCTCCGACCTCATTCAGTCGAGTCGAAGATAACACATTCACCAATCACAGATGAATGCCAAAACTTGCACTTTACATTACATCACAATACATTCAGAAACAGTGCATTACGTACGTATATACAGTGCAATAAAGATAACATCACTAAACTAAGTCAGTGAGTAGTGGTGGGAAGAAAAGTATTTGATACCTATAGCCAGGGGTTCCAGGCTGGGTCCATACGGCAGAGGTTTCTGATGTTCCCAGCCTCTGAAATGAAGGTTGAGACTTTTGAAGATCCGTCTTCAAACTCTGCCAAATCTGGAGAAAATAATTGTGCAAATGGCAAATTGTAAGTTGGTAAGATACACCACCTTGGTTCTCAATCCTAGTCATTAGTCGATATTATTGTAGGGGAGGTTATACTGTTAAACTGCTGGACTAGTTTTCATAATCTAAGTCAACCTCTGCTGTATGGACTTAAAAACTAATTGCAAACCAGGAAGGTCTCTTGAGAAAGTAGTAAGTATATTGATGGAATGTGAAGACGTACTGTGAAGACGAGTGAGGATTGCACTGACTGCCCCTGTGACTAATGAGATGATTGTTTCATTGTCAATGTCTGCAGTGCTGACCAAAGTGTTTGACTGCTCTTCTTGTTGTTTCTGCAGACAGAGGGAGACGGGAGGGAAGGAAGGAAGGGGCTTATAGTATAGTTCAGTAAATCTTGTAGTTCTGACCTTCTGCCAGGTGATAAACTGATCTCTGAGGACGGCCTGCAGGATGCTGGGCAGACTGTGATTGGCCTGAACTAAACACCTGCACAATAAAAAAGAACCTCTTCTTACTTACATTTCATGGTCATCATCATTAAGCTGCATAGCTACGTACGTGTATATGAGCCTCTACTGGACTTTGTCTAGAGGAGATTCAGGCTTGACTTGGAATACAGCCCACCAATCACTGAGCTGCTAGCCCAACAGTTTACACTAAATTAAGTTTTTAAAGCTGCGAATATGTCAGTAAAGGTACACAAAAAATAGTCTGATAGCCCCCGAAAATTAGTATTAAGGATGCTAATTCTTGTAGCTCCGTACCTGGCAAAGGCCACCATGCTCATGTGCATAGGGCCCGCTATGCCGATGGGTGAGACGAGGTGCTGGATGGCTGGAGTCAAACGGAACGGAACTGAGCGATTCGCATCCAATTCACCTGCACAAACAAGCAGAAGTAGGATAGTCGGTGTGTTAAAGGCTAACCTGGAGGAATGCACAATACACATGTACACGGTATCACAAGGTGTTAATTCTAGGAATTTACGTTTATAAATGCAGTGCCCCAATCTATGAAATTCGGAAAGCCCAAAGCTTCTTCCTTTTAAATTACTATCAAACATGGAATGACTCCATAACAGAGGACATTTTCCATTATTTTGCCAGACTCATCTATAATGCTCAGTGCTGGGACTTGTACAACAGTTGCAGGGTGGCCGATGTGCAGTGTACAAGACCTTTCTTGTTGATGTCGAAGGTGAGGAAGGCCTGAGTGAGACAGCCAGTGCTGCGGACAATGTAGAGGAGGTCCGGCTCCAGTCTGGTGAGATGGAACACAAACTCTGCCATCCCACACAGAGCCAGGTGCTTGGTGAACTGGGCAGGGGGAGAGAGAGCGGAGGAAACAAAACATCCACAGTTGATCTCAAATCAAGTTTTAAAAGGTGCTGTGTAGCAAACAGAAACTGCAAAAGGCACTACTAGAACGAATGCTATTGCTAGGCGAGCAAACTTGTGTGCAACATTTCAGCTGTTCTCCCGTACTTAGAGCATTGAGGCCAAAGTTTGCACGGTCTCGCTTTGGTCGCCAATAATAACTCATACAAAGCAAAGAGCTACAGGTATAAACCACATATTACACGTACCTGCATTCTGAATGTCCAGAAGTCAGTGGAAGTGGCGTAGGACTTCTCTCCCCACTCCCTGAGCAGGGTCTGGGGAGCATGCGATGTCTGGATCTGAGAGAACAGAGTCTGCAACGTCTCGGGAGTGATGCTCTCTCCTTGGCTTTGCAGGAGGGCCAGTCTCTCGTAGTACTGTACCATCGGTGAGTCCCACTCCTGGTTAGCTGAGCCACAGTACTGCAGTAGAAGGGGGAGGGGAAAACACTGAAACCTCTGTACAAGGACACTTGTTTCTATTTAGTATTATAATAAAAAGATATCTCTGTTTAAATTTTCATGATCCAAGCATGTGAGGTTCCACTCTAAATAAAAAATTTTACCACGTCACTTCGTAGAAAACAATTCTATACAGTCCGTCAAGCTACATTCTGTATGATAACCATCAGCAGAGAGGAAAAATATTAGCACGATTGTCAGAGAGAAGTATATACATAGATTTGATGCTGTAGCGAATGCAGAGAAGTCCACTATGAGGCCGTGAGTCCAATACCATACCACCATAGCTGTTAGGTAGGAGGCCCGTGAGTCCAATACTTATTACGTACCACCATACGTAGCTGTTAGGCAACCAGACCTGTTTGAAGATGTCGGTGAGGGAGATGTTGCTGGTGTTGTCCTCAACCAGTCTCATCTGAGGAGCCACTGCCACCAGTCGGGGCACCGCGAACTGCAGGTAGCGCCGACTCGTCTCCTACACAACATGGACCGTACATCCAAGAAATGGATTTTGGACAAAGAGTCACCACCAAGTATGGGGATACCTAGCTATATAGAATTACTGACTAGGTACATTCAGATTGCTGGAGTGAAGCTCTCTAGGAGCACCCCCGAAATGAGGACACCCATGCAAAACCTTGCTTTTCCTCATGCATGAACAGTTCTTGCATGCATCTTAACTCCTGAAATGAAGACACCTCGCCAGTAAGGATACATTTTCTTTCTCCCTAAGAACACTTCTTGCATGCAAGAGGACACCTCATTACTAAGGACACTTTCTTTTGTCCCACTAGAGAGGTTTAACTACAGTCTACTGACTTTGTTCTTGTTGAGGTAGAGGTTGATCATGGCTAGTAGCTGCAGCACTCTCTCCTCTGATCTACAGCGTGACACTTGTGTGTCATTCACCACCAAGTAGGGATATATCTGCAAAAATTGCCAAGCTTACTCACACATTAAGCATTATAAACTAGTAGTAATGGTATACTACTATTGAGGGCTTAATTTTGTAGTTAGAGAACCAATTGTGAAAGTTATTTTCAAGAAATTCTTGTTTTCCATCAAAAAACTCCATAGCACGTTTTCCACGGTTTGCAGTAAAATACTTGCCTTCCCATTGTCGCCCTGTATATAGAGTCTCCTAACAGTGGAGTGGTGTCTCTGAACTATCTCCACGCGAGGCATGAACCTGGCGATACGGACATAGTAAGGCATGGTTTTTGGCATCAGGTACTCTCCAGGGATGTCCATGTCAGCCGTGGCCAGGGAGAAATTGCTGAGGAACCGACAGCGATCCTCCAGTAGAAATGACCTTCTCAGGCAAAATAAAAATAAAAATAGAACCATTATTACACACATGCACACCTGCAGCACAGAGGGTAGGGCTTAACACACACGCACTTGATTAATATGAAAAGCACTAAAGTGCAAACCCTCGGGGAACTGCGCATGCGCGATACTGCTGGCTGGGCTATTTGGTGGTAGTCTCCCGCTAGTATAGCTCGCGGAGAGTCTGACACGGGCTAGCTACAGTAGTAGATAGCATGCGAGAGGTGATACATGCCCTTCGTTGACACACAGAGCGAGCGGACGCGGTCGAGGCTGTGCTAATTTGCATATTGGCTTGTTCACTTGCCTTTCAGGCCATAACTTTTGAACGCAGAAGTTATATCAAAATCGCCTTTTTTAATGAGGCCAGTGTAGCGATGAACCTGTTCGCGTTGCTATTTCGTTGTCTCGTTGCGCGTAGTCGCAGAAAACGTGGTAACAGACGAACGGACACACTCACTCACACACACACACTCACGAACCAAGTACCGTAACCCTCGCTTGCACTGGGATCAAGGTTTTGAGGGACGAAAAAGCTACATCGTCACGGACTTACTTTTGGAGGGACTTTGTTTTGAGCTCAAGTATTTTGATCCATCTCTTTAGCTTGGCCATGAGTGTGTGGAGTCTCTTTGCACCTGGAGCACTGGACAAAGTGTATACACAACTCTCATTCGAAAACCTATGCTTAAACGTTGCTATCAGCTAGAGAAAGATAGAGAGGGGCTTGATAATGTGTAGTTAGAGCACATTTTGATGCAAAGACATTTTGAGTTTGTAAATGCTATCACAGAAAAATATACATTAAAAATACCAGGATTACTATGTAACTACAAATTGACGTCTTATAGACAGCACTGTTGGCACACGAAGGGTTCAACCGAATTATGTTGAGAGTTCACCTGAAGTCAAAATCGGAGGCGAATTGAGCTTTGAGTCTCTGGAAGGCAGGGTCCTGAGCAGCTGCCTGGGCTCTTTTGGCCAGCGACTCGTGCGACATTGGCCCCCCACCCCCTCCCCCTCCCGTGCCGCTGCTACCACTGCCAGACTGTTCCAGACCTATGCCAAATGTGCTGACGAGACGTTTGACAAACTGGAACATCTCTGGTGGGATCTGAGCATTGGCCACTGCAGACAAGGAGAGCAACATAGTGAGAGATAAAAATATCCAAATTTTTCTATCAACTTTACTGTAAGTGGTGCTAAAAAATAGTATCTTGCCACACAAAATCCATCACCACTAAAAGTAGTAGTACGACTGACTGACTGACTGACTTACCATCAGCTCTGCTGGCAAAGGCTGCAGCCTGACACATGATGAGACCTTCGTTCAACTGCCTCAGGAGCTCCTCATACCAGTTCTCCCTGAACCACACCATCTGTGGGGAGTACCTTCGCCTTACTTTCTGTCATTACACAGTAAAGCTGCAGGGACTATAGTTTAAGGCGCAGTAGTATTTGAAAGTGAAACCTCAACATTATTGTATGAACCCTCTGCTTCACAATGCGCATAAAAAGACTTTCAGGAACCTTGTGTTACTGAGGACTAAATCTCTTGAGAAACATTACACTCATGTATGAGCAAATGGCACCCACATACGTAGTTGTCTGAAGGCTAAGTGTAACCCAAACCATTGTATATACTTAAACCCAAGAAAACACTTTCTTCCAAAGGCTGCCCTGTGTGTATGTATGGTGTACCTGGTCTACTATTCCCTCCAGAGCTGAGAGGAGAGTGGGGTGGAGGTCCCTCAGCAGGTGCATGATCCTACTGCATCTCCACAGAGAGGCTGGAGCTCTGATTGGAATCGACTCCCCTCCTCCTCCTCCTCCTCCACTGGCCTGGGTTGACGGAGTGGAAACCGAGGAAGAAGAGGACGCCGGGACTCCTGTGGCTGGGTCTGACGGAAGCCAAAGATGGCAAATTATTCTCACTTTCTCTTTCTAACTTCATCAATGGCTATAGCAGAAGTGTATACGTATATAGATCCATTACGTACGTATATCACTAAAACTTTTGACGGGAACATTTTTGGGAAATTTGAGTATTCATGAAATTTTCTTCATGTAATGCCTCCCAGTGATCATAAATATTGAAATTTTCTTTTGTCATATTAATTGCTAAAAGGTTTCTGCTATTAACATTTGTTATACCATGAGGCTGAGTGGTGGGTGTGGCATTCGGGGCGGGGCCAGTCTTGAGCTGCAGTTGAGATGTGATGGCGGTGATTTTGGCCTGCAGTAGCTGCACCTGGTTCAGCTGCTGCATTACGCACACATCGGGAAAAAAAGGAACAAAACGTGTGTGTATATGAAAATTTAACGAGAGTTCAACCGCAGGAAAATGTAATACTGTCGTTGCCAATATGGAATTTATAGCTCAGGTGGTGCCTTTGATGTGCTCACACATCGTACTACAAGTAGGTACATGCAATCCCTACAGTGAATCTCGCTGAATGTTGAAAACAAGGAGTACATTACGTAACACACACTAATCTAGGTGTTTAACATTGTCTACCTTCCGTGCTATGTAAGTGTCCTGCATTTATAGGGTTGACACACACGAGAAAATTAACACAATAAGAGCAACGTATAATATAATCCAGGATCTATTGTCTACTGGACGATGGAACAAAAAGGACAGCACCCAAGTCGTATGACTCAAGACTTAGGAAGGAGCAAATACACACATCATGCCACATCTAACTTATGAATATGGGTCGCGTAAGCGAGTGTACTTGTGATCAAGAATGGCTACATGTAGGAATTCCGCAAACGAGGCACTGTCGCAAAAGGAGACTTTAACAGGCAGTAAGGAAAAACGAGCGAACGTCAGCATTCAATGGACAGGTCAGACCAAACTGATAGGAAACGGAGAGGGGACGTGGACAACCAAGCGCACGGAGAATTAGAGGGTCAATGCACAGAGGAGCTCGGCATAGCACTAAGAGTACGTAAGGGGAAGAAAGCGACGGCTGTAGCAATGATAGCGAGTCGAAATACGACTAACAAAAACGCGGTAAGGTACGTAGGTTATGTGGTAGTACTAATGTGAGAGCGCACATAGCTGCAGTCCGTAGATCTGTAGTGAACAGTCTGAACAGGAACTGTGATGGCGTAGCCTGACAAAACATCTGAAGACAGGTAAGAAATGCAGCACGACACATAGGAGCCAGCATGGACACGTTGCAGAAATCGACGACGGTGTGGTCTCGGACGGCAATCTGGAAGTCCGTAGTACAGTTGAAGGGTATGCACATAATTCGCGACTGTTCGTTGCAGTCATTATCGAAGAAATGATCGGCGCTGAATGACTCGTCGATGAGGGGTTCGTTTCCCAACGTAAACAGGCTTCGGACTCCAGTCTCGTTGAAAAAGATGAGCTGATTTACGTTGTTTCGCACGCACTCTGTCACCCGCACCTTCACTAAGCACTGGTCCGTAACTGGAACACGGGCGAGATCTTCCGCTACAAAGGAAAAGAAACTTCGCCTGTCTGCCTGATTGCTGGGGATGGTAGCCTCCACTATGCAATCGTCCACGCTCTCGTAGAACGGCCGGGGTCTTGCTGGAGTGTGCGTTATAACTTCCTGGAATGTGAAGAATCGACCGAGTCTAGTCGGTGCTCCGAGCTCTGAGGCGTCAAACGTATCCTGGGGGAAATCAAGTGGTGTCTGCGGACTATCGGCATTGATCTGGAGAAGAACTCCTCAATATGTTTCCCCGCGGCAAGATAAGTGAGAAATAAAGAGAGAAAGACCGTCACAAAAAAGAAGGGGGGGCGAGACGGGGAGTATGGTAACGCATGACAAGATATGAGCCGGAGAAGAAAAAGGTACCGAAAAAGCAAAAGCCGTTATACAGTTGTTTGATTGATAGGCAGAGGAGAGAAAAGGAAGGGAAAAGGAAGAACCGAGAGAATAAGGTAATGAATATCCCAAACCAAAAGTACAGACAAGGATGAAAGAACCAACACAAGCGACAGAAGTTGAACATAAAAGAATCGTATGGGGTGGAGGCGCGTGCGCGGTAGATATAGAAACAATAACGGAACCGTAAAGGATAGAAGAACGACCATAGCAGGACGGACTTTAACAGTGAAGGGGGGGAAAAGTCACAGCACAGGGGCAGCAACTGTCCGAAAAAAACAAATTCCTCATAACTGTAGCGCAAGACAGGAAACAAGACTACACCTGAAGATAAGGTGTATCAGAGATGCAGGATGGACATAAAAAAATCAAAATACATGGCCTATCACAGAGGACCAGAAAAACTTAATCGTGAAAAGAGACTGAAGAACAAACAGGATGCACACTCTACAAACCTATATGACAGGTCTGTCAGGTCAAAGGCGGAACAAAACCAGTAAACACGACAAACAGTGTTTGTCGTCTACATTTAAGTTAATGACACCAGCCAAGAGGGAGGATTAGGCACAGGCGCCGCAAATGGATTCCGATAAAAGAAAAAAAATCGTAGGAAAAAGAAAAGAAAAAAGAAGAGAAAAAGGAGGGACTGAATTGAAAATGGTTAGGAAGGCATTGTTCTGGTTTGAGTAGGGACATGAGACCACAGAGGGAAAAAGGGAAAGGACTCGAGGATAGTTTTCAGGTCCTAAAAAATGGCCCAAGAAAAAAAAAACGCGTCGATCACTAGTCATTAAAAAACGTCAGGAAGGTACAGAAGAAAAGGAGCAGTAGAGCTAGAAGATAAAAGATAAGAAGAGAGACAAAGAATAGGAAAATCTTTCCTTGTCCAGGACAAGTCGTTCCGAGTCTACCATGTCCAAGAACCCGTCGTCCTGGGCGTTCATGTAGATTCCGTTGAACATGACAAGGTCCTCGTATAGAGACCCATTTCTCTGGAAGCCATCGGCGGGGATCGTGATATAAATCTTGTCACTGATACGGAAGGTGTACCCTGAGTCTTCTGGAGCTACTAGGACAGGATGCCTCGGGAGTAATGCCACCACAACTTCTATTGCTGATCTCGTGGCCACCAGCTCGATCTCGTGCTCTCGTGGGACATAGTTTGCAGCCAGGACGATGACAGTTACGGACCTAGCTCCTGCCAGGCTCATGAACGTCATCTTCCCGTTGGTGTATGTCAGTCCAAGAAGCTCTCCGGTGTCCTTATTGACGACTTGTGCCCCGGAGATAATTTCTCCTCCTTCTCCCGGTTCTCGAACGAGTATTGACACCAAGACTTCAATGTCGTCGCAGATGGTACAGGCACAGTGGGTCTCGTTCGTGCTCACTGCATTCCCCGACAGAAAGCTACTCTCATCGCAGGCCACATCGATTGGCTCTGTGGCTATAGCTCGACAGCAACATCTCCTGTCAGAGTCTTGGCAGGGCCCAGAGCCGGTGGTACACTGTTCCAGATTGCAGCTGGTGCGAAAAAACGAGTCGTAGAGCTCTCCGTCCTCGATGTACTTGCAGCGTGGAGGAAGGAGTACTTCCGTCTGTGTCGTCGAGCAAGCTGCGTGGGAGAAAAACGGTTTGAATCCATGAGTACAGGTGAGAAAAAGTCCGCCATTTTCTTGGGTCTTCCTCACTGTATAAAGTTCCTTCTTGCTCTCACTTTATAAGCAAAATCTTAATCGAAGGCCTATAGTTTCATGCATGCACTGTTCTATGAGCGTTCATTATTTTGTCTCGATATCCAAAAGGTTGACTAACTGTTACGTACCTTCATAGTTTGGCAGTGATTGAGTCTCTCCGACTCCATTTGGATTTCTCACAGGGTTCACCAGAAGGAACCCTACACAGAGCAGTCCACCCAAAACGGCCAGCAAGCCAATTGCCGTTGCTATCACCAACTCCAAGAGCTGTGAGGATGGTCTCGCCTTCCTCATCTCCCTCCCTCCTTCTCTCTCTGGCTTTCCTTTCTCTCTCTATCTTTCTATCTCCCTAAAACTCAGTTCTCTATAGAGCCTTCAGTAGAGGTCTTACTGCTCATAGTGCATCCTCGACTGATGTTTTGCCAGGCACTGTGATAGGCCAAGACTGGTACTGGTCTATAAAGGATCTATTGCACACATTCACCTCCTGGTCCATGGTTGCTGCAGTGAGCCAGTTCTGCCTGGCACTAGCAGGCCCACTGGGGGCATGGACATTCCTAACATTCCTACCACTTAGTGCTCATATGTGTACATAAACCAATACGGATTCTACTGCATATACAGCAGTGTGGAAAGGGTTCTGTATGCGTAAATGTACCAGTCAGTAGCTGGTACATACACACTGCATACTACACTGTATGTACCCTTCTGATATGTATAGTAGATCTATACATATTGGACTGGGGCTTGTGCTACTATATATATGCTATATGGGAATCAGGGACAAGGTGGTACAGTAAGGAAGAGGGGAAGGACGATCACACACTGCATACCACAACAGTATGAGATTATTCGGAACTCGTGTTTACCACATTATAGTAACAACGAAGGAAGAGGATGACACATGCATGTGACTGACCTTTGCCAGGGACAAATCAGGTCCAGAATGTATTTTAACCCCCTGTGCTCCATTTCCAGTGGAGAGAGTGGTGTCCATAGGCTCCGCCTGTCCTCCTCCCTCTCCTCCTCCTACTCCGTGTTGAGAGGAAGACTCTCCGGCTGTGGTAGCGGTCGGAGTCGACGCCTTGGACTGCTGATCTGCCTTGTCTGAAACACAAACACACATCGAGTTTCAGTTTCAATTCCACACCATAATTATAACTCTGTCTTTTCATTCGCAAAATACTGGTAATGTGTTATAATATGACACACCAACACCAGAGAACGCATTGTTTGATTTTTATATGCTCCCTGCACGTCAGGAATTATGTGATCTATGGAGTAGGTATCATGTGATCATCGGGCAGGATTTTACATACGTTTCTCTCTCTGTTCCATCTTGAGGGTGAGGTAGAGTGTTCTGATGGGGAAGTAGACCGCTTGAGGGTAGGCTTTTCCCACGCCACACAGCAAGTTCAGGATGTGGCCACCTTCCTTGCGAACCAGGCAGGTGAGTAACTGAGGAATCCAGGGTAGCCAGAGAACTGGCGATATTCCAATGTAGTATTTCTCCACAGTCTCGGCCAGTGTGCTCTAAAGAGGGGGGAGAGGAGTGAGGGTTGAAACTATACCATATCAAATCCCCCACACATACGTATTTGACGTGTACCTAAAACACGTATGGGTTGTGCATGGAAAGCCATACTGACAGTATTGGTTGCCATAGCTTAGGAACAACTTTCAGTATGCACTTTTGTTCTATTATGTATGCGGGGCTTTTATATATATATGTACTTAGTACGCACTCACGCGTAATATAATGTGTCTACTAAATCTCGTAGTAACTCGCATCTTGTTTACTCGTGGCGCCGATTCCCCGTGCAACCCGCGCACGCGTAAAAACAAGTGCGGACTCGCTGTCTAACTATTTGTATGTATGTGACAGGCTGTTCAACATACGCATGAAAAATTGCAACCGCTTGCTGAAAAATTTCCACATTCAGATTACCTAAAACACGTATGGGTTGTGCATGGAAAGCCATACTGACAGTATTGGTTGCCATAGCTTAGGAACAACTTTCAGTATGCACTTTTGTTCTATTATGTATGCGGGGCTTTTATATATGTACTTAGTACGCACTCACGCGTGATATATGCACTCTGTTCTATTATGTATGCGGGGCTTTTATATATATATATATATATGTACTTAGTACGCACTCACGCGTGATATATGCACTCTGTTCTATTATGTATGCGGGGCTTATACATATATATATATATATATGTACTTAGTACGCACTCACGCGTGATATAATGTGTCTACTAAATCTCGTAGTAACTCGCATCTTGTTTACTCGCGGTGCCGATTCCCCGCGCAACCCGCGCACGCGTAAAAACAAGTGCGGACTCGCTGTCTAACTATTTGTATGTATGTGACAGGCTGTTCAACATACGCACGAAAAATTGCAACCGCTTGCTTGCTCGCGTCGTTCAAGTAGTGACATACACAACTCCCCCTCCGCTCCACTCAGCACTATTTCTCTTATTAGACTACGGTAACACGCAATTGACCAATCAGATTGCGAGTTTAGCGGTGACTATTTTTGTTAGTGACCTCTTCCGCGGTAACTATTCGTAGCCCCGGCAACCACGCCTTCAATTCGAAAAGACGCCACGCGCGCGGACGGTGAACCGAGCTTCTGGAGCGGTTCTTCCCACGAAGAAACCAGGAACAGGCTCTTCTAGCAGCAGCGCATGACTACTAGAGAGCTAGGAAGACGCTAGAGAAAGCGTACAGGGAAAAACGCGTACAAACGGCCGGCCGGCGCGATCCCGAAGGGCAGCAACGCCTACAACGGACACTGCAGCGGGACGGACTTGCGCTGTAGTCTAAGCCGGTTAGACGCGTCGCCTTGGGAAACTACGCGATTTAGTGAGCCTCGGAGCCCTTAGTAGCGCCCTCGCTGCGCTCGGGACGCCGACAGCTCAGGGCTCCTCGGCTCACTAAATCGCGTAGTTCCCGCAGCTCAGCGTCTAACCTATACTTATGGGTCAGTTGAATGTGTGTTACGTAAAATTGAATGTGTAGACATACATACAGTATATGTAATGGGTCAATATGACGTACAGTACGTGTGTCAACAGTTGTCTACCTTTTCATCATCGAAGGTGAGCATCCAGATGATTCTGGCCAGGTATTTCCGCGACTTGCCCTCTCCCTGGTTCCGACAGGCATGGAGGAAACACGTCAGGGCAGACACAGCCAGCGTCAGGTTCCTAGAGGAGTTTCAGGTTGTTGCAGTTCATTCAGATTAAGTTAAAAATGTATGAAAATGTATGAAGGGTCAATAAGAGCACCCAAAGTACATGCTTCTATGCTACTACGTACGTACTATAGTTCTGCATTTTGTACTTCACTGATATAAGAAAAAAGAATGATAGGAAAATAATGAAGCATGTGGAGTCGCAAGCAGTCAATAGCCACGGAAAAGCAAAAGAAAATCCCAGACTGAAGACACAGGGCAAAGCAAACCTTTTGTCTTAATTGCACAATTTTCCCTTCAGAAAGGCTCTGCGTGATTCTAAAATAATCTTTTTTCTCACATGAAATTTCTGAATGTAGTTTGAAATTCACACTAAACTGCACTCGCATTCACTGGTCAAAAATACATTTGTATAGTAATAATTATAATAAACCTGTCCGAAGTGAAGAGTTGGTCAAGGTAGTCACCCCAGCATACGCAATACATTTGTATAGTAATATAATATAATAAACCTGTCCGAAGTGAAGAGTTGGTCAAGGTAGTCACCCCAGAGAGCCCAGGCCTTGACTAGACTGTCATGGAGCTGGACGGCGGCACTGAATGACCTGTTAGCATCCTCTGACCTGCGTACCACACACACACACACACACACAAAGACACAGACATTTTGATGTTGTGAATTAGTTATAAAGACTGGATGTCTGAGGTTATACACTGCACTTTTCAGCTTGGTCGGTCGGTCTGTTCTTACACCCATACACCCAATTATAAAAGTACGAAAAATTTATCCTACTTTCAACAGTCATTGCGTGCAACCCTCAAGCTACGGACGAGGTGTATTCAGGATGGTAATATTGTACAAGCAGACCTGCCAATGTGGGCCAAGAAGTTTCCTTTGAGTGCCATGAACTCAGCGATCATCTCTTTAGTGAAGTACTTGAGGTTAGTGCTCTCTATGACCTCCAGAGCATCTTGTAGTTCCGACGTTTCCATTACTCCTGACATCTGAATGTAGCACTTCACCTATAGTTACGTAGATAAAGGAACATACAGACTAACTTGAATAAGTTTACACACTTAATAGAGTAAAGAGTTTGATCGAGACGTCAAATTCACACCAGCTGCCGAATTGTATTTGGTCAATGCACATATTGATCTATATTAAAGTGTCCACACTTGGTATACACAGGCTTCAGTCATTCCTACTATGACAGAGGCTCAATTGAGGTCAAGTGGATTGCGTCAATTCAATGAAAATAATGTGGCAAAAATGGGGAAATGTCTCATACAAGCCTCAGTCATTCCTATGACAGAGGCTCAACCCAGGTCAATCCACATCAACTAGTGGATTTGGTAAATCCACAACATACATAGTTGATGTGGATTGCTGACAAGATACCATGAATCGTGTAGTTTCATTCAGGGCGAGTGTGGACCACTCAGTCATGGGTCCTCACCTGTTGTCTGATTTTCTGGAAGCAGTCGAGGACAGGTACACTGGGGATGCTGTGTATCTTGCTCAGAGAATCCAGACACACAGAGTGGAGATGCTGCTTGCGGGCTATCTTGGCGTACTCTATGATTGCCGTCGCTGAGTGATGTACTACCACCATCGCATGGTTATTCTGGAGACATTCAATACATAATGATAGTACATTATCGGCAAATACAGGTATATATTCAGAATGGTTGGTTGTCCCTAAAACTTAAATTGCCAAAGGTTTAGCCCACACCCTATTTTCCCACAATGTGTATTTTCCTCTGCACTTTCCAGAAAGATTAAAGGTATTCAGGACGGTTAGTTACACTATTTACTTCGGCCACCGTATTTTCCACATAACCCCCTGAGGATTACTGTACTGCACACTCCAGCTATAGTAAAGGTATTCAGCATTATTGGTTGGTTGGTCTCATCTTCCCCTTCCCTGCTAAAAGTACAAAAGGTTTAGGCCACCCCTCCTGAGGATTATTACTGCACTCTCCACCTATAGTAAAGGTATTCAGCATTATTGGTTGGCCTGTCCTTCCTCTCACTTACTTGATAAAAGTACGAACATTGTAGGTCACCATGTTTCAACGAGAATTATAGTAGCCCTATGCTTGGTTGGTCCTCCATATGTACCTGCTACTAAGGACAGTGTTGTTGAATGTATAAAGTACCTGTTCAGTATTCGGGCTGTTTTCGTAGGCCTTCACCAGATGTTTGTAGTGGAGCTGTCTCCAGCAGAAGATGTCACTCCAGTGGCTCAGGTCGTCTGAACAGGTGGGCAGTCGGTTCCTGACAAACAAGGAAACAGTTTTTAGCGTTTGCATCAGAGGTTGTTGATATGAAAATTTAAATAGATCAAGGAGGGAGAAAGAGGAAGAGAAGGGGGAGAGAGGAAGAGAGAGGAAGAGAACGGGGAGAGAGGGAGAGAGAGAGGGGAGAAAGAGGAAGAGAGGACGTGCTTCCATGTCTTGAAGATGGTTTTGACGTCAGTGTGGAAGTTTTGTCTGGTCAGACCTCCCATCTGGAGGCCATTGTGGACCGTGTGAGCCTCCTGCAGCTCCATGATCTGCTGGGACAACTGGTGTGTGTGTGTTAAAAGGGATAAATAGAGGTGTTTGCAGGAGGATCGAGCAGAAGACAAGGTCAATGTCAATCTAAATTGGGGCTTATACCTACCCACTAATTTCATCAGTTAGTGCAAGAGATTGAACAAGCAGTTTTCGTTCAGTTTCTGCATCTCCTAAAATAAACCTTACAAAGGCCCATTGCATGATTTAAACCACGTACGTATGTACGTATGTTTGTACCTGCAGCAGAGGGACGTGAGCTCTGGCCACTATCTTAGGGAACCTCCTCCACTGTTTGATACTCTGAATACTGGCCGCTTCGATCAGCTTCTCCACGGCACTCAGCCGCTGTTCGTCAGGATAGCAGAGCGCCAGGAACCCTCTCAGGAGGTTCAGTTTGGAGCTGTAGGCCTCCGAGCAGATTGGCTCGGCCTGCGTCGACGCCTCTTTCATGGCTATCCAGTCCTGGATCCTCCATGCATTCTCCAATACTATATAGTAGTATAGAGATTGACAACAGGATACAGGGGGGGTCCTGATATCATGGAGCATTCGTTTATACTTGTACAAATATATAGTATGCCTTGATATATGTACAGCGGGGGTCCCGAGTTTTTAACTTTAAAATTGCTTTCTCTTCGGAGCTATGCATATATTATTCCCACAACGCATAGGTTGTGTGGTGTGATGTTATTTGAGAACCATATCCACACACTCTGGCACGCAACGTAAGACAATGCTGCACAGCGATGCACGATCGATATGAAGTGGGAGACAACATTGTGAGCATATCCTTCTTCCTACTCCCCACTCCCTTCTCCCTCACCAAGGAAGGGGTTGGCACCGTTCTGGCTCCTGCCAAAGTCACTGAGTGTCTCCCACTGGCCCAGTTCCTGGGCACAGCGACACCAGTTGGCCTCCCACACCTCGTACTCTGAGATGACCGACGGAGGAGCGGCCGCTGTGTCGTGGAGGTCTTTGGCCTGCTTGATAGCACTCTCGTACGACTGCTGCGCCTGAGGAGAAAGATAGCAGTTCGCGAGAAAAATCTTCAATGTATGTATAATGTACTGATAAAGTGTAGCTATGGAACAAATCAATCACCCACAAAGAAGGATAAGATGATTTTTCCTGGTTATCTATATTGTGTACGTAAAACGGCAAACGTTTGGTTTAGGGAACAGAGTATCAATTTTTGTGTTTTTTGAAGAGAGAGTGAGAGGAAGAAGAGAGAGTGAGAGGAAGGAGAGAGAGGGAGAGGAAGGGAGAGAGAGGGAGAGGAAGGAGAGAGAGTGAGAGGAGAGGTACATACCTGCTCAAAGAGTCCCTGGCTCTCGAAGGCAATGGCGGTGACAGTCTGTGGGAACTGGCAGCGGAGGGTCCAGAGCCCCGCCCACAAGTCCTCCTCATTCAGAGAGGCATACACGTCTGACAGAGAGTCCAGCGTCTCCTGAGGGAGGAGGGAGGGAGGGAGAGGGAGGGAGTGGTCTCAATCACAGATTGCTTAAATTGACAGTTAACTGAATTGACACTTGTGTGTCGGTAATAATGGGTTTGCAATTTGTAACGGCTTGTAAAGAGGGAGTGTTTCCTATGAAAGATACTCAATTGAACAAGCATTTTCAATCTTTACTGTTTTGGTAGATAATCTGTTGCTACATGATTATGTGCAATACGTATGTATATCATATTATGTGTAAATTTGAAGTATATGTATGTAAATAGACCTGTCTGAATGGGTCCAGGAGTTGGTCAGAGTAGTTGCCATCATAGGACGGAGGTTGCTTGGCTTCGTTTGGTTTTCCCAGTTGCGGCTGTGCTCGGTCTTCTAATAGGAGAGCACCTCCGTGCCAGTAGTTGTGTGTCTTGGATAAATACTGGTGACAGAGGAAGAGGAGAGAGAGGGTAAGGAGGTAAAAAAGAGATATGTTACGTATGTTGAAGAGGGAGAGAGAGGGTAACAGTGGCGGATCAAGGGGGGTTCCTTGGGTTCCGCGGAACCCCCCTTTTTGTCGTTTTGCGCGCATGCGTCGCCGGCCTCGTGCGTGTGCATGAGCGCAGTCGACAACGTTCTGGACAGCGGAACCCCCACTTTCGCCACCGGGGTAAGGAGGGCAAAAGAGAGAAAGGTACGTACGCTGCGGAGAGGAAGAGGAGAGAGAGGGCAAGGAGGTAATAAAGATAATACCTGAAGAACGCAGGACCTGACAGGGGGCTGTGGTTTACAGAGGAGGGCCCCCTCCAGGAAGGCTCCGACAGGACTGGGGTGGGAGTCAATCTGCGTCACGTGGGCCCCGCTGCACATGAACGGAGATACCTCCCCTGATAGAGCCTGAGGGTGAGGGAGGGGACCAAGAGTATGGGGGGAAAAAACTATTGTTAAAATGAAAAATTCAGTAGCTAAACTTAGCGGCATAATAAGAACGACATGTTTAAAAAGGCAGTGTTAAAGAAACAACAGGACTTTACACAGTACATTTGTGATTCGGCACATAACTGTACATTAACAGAACACATTCAGATTACTGTAATGAGTTTTATCCCCTTACAGAACCTCGCAACAGACATTGTAAACTAAAACAGACAGTATTAAGTAAGGGAGTGGAGGATGTAAGTATGTATTACTTGTCTCTGGTGATCAGAGAGGCAGGCCCAGAGTCGGGGGAAGAGGGTCACCCACGTCTCGTAAGCCAGCGAGGTGTCGGAGTAGCACAGCTGCGCCAGGGAGAGGAGGAACTGGCGGGACCGCACCGATTTCAGCTCAGACAGGAACTGGGATAGCTTGCTGGAGAGCCGACTGAGCGCCCCAGCCTCCGCTGTCTCCTCTATCAACATCCATCCCTCCCTCCATCAGCTCCTGCATGTACGGACCAACACGTGCGTCTTTAAACATGGAGATATTACGGTAAAAAATTTGTACAGAGTGTTTACTAACTCGACCATTATAGTCAATTGCATTAGAAGCCCACTATTATGATGCACACAACACACTACGTTGAATGCGATTATAAGGATATAGTAAGAATGGACCTCGGGGAGTTGGCTTGAGATGGCGGGAGGCTCGGGGACGTCGTGAGTGAGAGAGGTCTGAGCCGGGCCGACCGAGGCCACGCTGGGCAGCTGCGGTGTCTGGGGTGCAGAGGTCACCGGCTGATCCAGTGCCGTCACAGACAGCAGCAGCTCCAGGCAGTGTTTGATCCAGAAGAAAGTGCCACAATGTTCCCAGTTCTGCGTGGAGACAGAGAGAGAAGTGTGGAGGATACAAATTACATCTTCATTTGATGTTGTACGGAAATTATGGTGTTACTGATGATTCATCCTACTTTTTCTCAAACACGTGAAAGGTGAAAGTGAAATTTGGCTTTTCTTGCACAAATTCTCAATTTGTCAATTTGAAAATTGCTAAGAATGCATGTGCAGAATGTTTAATTTGGTAGTTTTCTGTAGAACTACATAAATTGTCAGTTCCAGTATATACATACGTATGTACCTGAGAGGACAGATTATCAGTTCCAGTGTACATACATATTATTATACCTGAGAGCACATGATGTAGAGGAGGCGATCAAACAGCCTCTTCTGGATGGACTTGTTGTAGACCGCAAAGAACCTTCCCCTCAACTGGACGTCGGAGCACCGCAGGCCAGACAGGAATGCCGGCTCCAGCTTAGTCGTCAGCTCAGTTTGACTCAGAGAGTCACTCCTATCGTGGGTGAGGGAACGTTGGATAACAGAATGCTGAGGTGTACTAGGATTAGTGCAAAAATCTTGGGTTCTTGTTAACACCCAGGTACGAATGCATTCCTTCATTACATTTCTGTGAAAACTTGCACTGTAATTTGGTAGAACAATATGGGGCTCAACAGGTTTTGCACGCTTGCGACTGCCATTCAAAGTTCATGTTTTGTCAAATTCACCATTCTCCTGTTCATTAGGTTTATTTTTTTCTCCATTCCCGCCCCCCCCTTCTCCCTCCCACACCCTCTCTCTCCCTCTCTCCTCACTTGTAAATGTGGAGTACAATCTCCAGGAACTGTGAGATGAGTTCCGAGTCGTCCGGAAATCTCTTCTCAAGGAACACCATCATGCGAGTGACAAGGAGAGAGATCTCTCGCAGCGAGGGGAGGGAGTAGAGGGGTACCTCGAGTCGAGACCGCACCCACTCGTCAACTATCCTTGTCAGTGTCTTGAGAATCTTCACATCCTGCGACAGAGAGAGAGAGACAGAGAGAGAGAGATCATTGGTTGCTCAGTGTGTGCTCTGTCTACACTGTCTTGTCGTGGGTTCGAATCCCACCCAGGGCAGTCCGCTTGTCAAATTATAGTTTGTCCTCCCCTACATGGGAGTCTGCGTCACATAACTATGAACACATTCAACGTTCCAACTGCAAATGACACGTACGTACGTACATATAATTATGCTGCAAAGTATCACTTTATTCAGAGGTTTCAAATTAAGGAATAGCATAATACGAGGAGTTGTTCTCGCTGATAATACAATACAATGGACAGTATATGTACCGGGGCCTTCTCGATGAGACTGGTGAGAATTGTGAAGAGGCCTTTCCTGGCCTCCTGTGGCATGCCAGTCACTCTGCCCTTGACCAGCTCCAGACAGATCTGCAGGAGTTCAGAGAGGGGCTGGGAGTCTGGGGCCGGCCCCGAGGAGGTGATGTACTCCTTGTGCAGCTTGTTGATCACCTTCATGAACACCGTCTGAAACCTGGGGAGGGACGGAGGGAGAATTTAAAAAATGGAGGGCCAGTAGCGGGTCTGAACGTGCAAAGCAGATGATGGTGGGCATCACCCAAAAGCATTGTACTTTACGGGGCAATAAAATAGCTAAATTCTAAACGGAACTATAGACACAGCGAGAAACTTTAATATCTGGACACGACACCTGTACGACATGGATAAAACATACAAAATCAAAATATGAGAAGCATACATACATGTAGGTCATACTCTACCTGTCAATGTAGCAAGGGTCGTTGCTACATGCTGCCTTCAGAACCATCAGAACACAGTGGAGTGAAGAGGTGTTGAGAGTGGTGGCCTTCTCGAAGTTGGTCAGACCTTCATTCACGACTCGGACGACGCTGGCATAGAGGGGCTCCAGCTCCTCTAGTTTGGAGGCGAGGGCCGCGGAGGCTGGCTCTGTCGGGAACATGGCCATCAGCCGGGAGAGGAGGAGGACGAGAAAACGAACCACCTGGGAGAGAATGATTGGGGGGAAGGGAGGAAGAATAGCATCATCTGCCCTGTGGCTGTTCGTGGTGTGTAATCTCAGTTACAGATGCCCTTCGATACACGCTATAATTTTCTACTTCTAGATTTATAGAATTTCAGAGTAAGTGGGTTTTGATAAAACTTTCGTAATTACGTATGCAAAACTACCTGAGGTGCAAATCATCAATAAAATATCCCCAATTCTATAGGAATACAGTGGAACTCCTCTAATCCCAGCACCAACAGGACGGAAGAAAGTGTCCATACATACGTAGGAAGGTGTTCTCTTTTCACGTGTTAAAATGCACGAATAAACTATTTTCAGGGAAAGACAAAGCATCCTTATTTTTCATGGGTGTCCTTAGAGAAATTAAAGCGCATTGATAAAAATTACATATGTACCATACATACATATGTATGTACCTTGGTGTTCCCGCAGGTCATACAGATAGTGAATCCTTTGCTGAGAGCCTTGAATCCAGCCAAGAGTGTTGGGACGAGGGAGGACGGTCAGGAGGAAGGTCAGCAAATCGAGAGCTGTGCAGATGTTGTAGTAGAGAGATGTGGCAGCAGGAGAGACCGGGTCTACGGTGCTCTGAGAACGAGGGAGAGGAGAGGACGTGGAGGTAAAGGGCACACCAACTAACGTTCATAAATGCCTTTAAAACAGCTGAAGAGTGTAATGGAAATGACAATAAATTAATAACAGGGTGCCCTAAGCCTGAAAGAGAAACATAGAAAGCCATTGTATTTCCTAGTGTGTAAGTAATGTACACACTGACTTACCAGGCCTTCGAATAGCTTGCTGAACCAGGGCAACTTGATGTCAATGTGAGGCCAGATGTCTGGTTTGAGGGTTGTCTTGATGAGAGAGACACACCTCTTGGACAGGATCTCCCCCGAGGAGGCTGGGCTGGAACCAGGGAGTGACTGAGACTGGGAATCACTCACCTGGGGAAGGGAGGGGAAAGAGAGAGAGAGAGGAAAGAGAGGCAGGACGGGAGAGAGGAGGGGGACAATTGAGTTATAGTGTCGTAGTGTTGTGTGTGAGATCTTCGCAGGGAGTTCTCCACACTTGGGTATATTTGCATCTGAGCAAGCTGTTGCAAGGTTACCGACAGTCAGGTCACGTAACTTCTGACAACAGCTTGCTCTGGTGAAATCTCAGCCGAAAATGGCAGCAAAAGCTAATAGGCTTTGCACCAAAAGCTTCAATGTGTCACTAAACTTCTTCAGCAACGACTTGCTATAACCTACCCTAAAAAAGTGGCTCCGCTCACACCACACCCACCTGACAGGCAATTCTAATGAGGAAGTTGATGACGGCGTCAGAGTGCTGCCTGTCCAGCACCCAGTGGGGGTAGAGAGTCTGGCTGCGTGTCCCCTCGACTATCTGGACCCGCAGACCAATCGACTGGACCGACCATCTGAGAGAGAGTGTGTCCCAGTGAGGGGGGGAAGGAGGCCGCCGAGGAGGGCTGTATGCAGGCTTTATGTTAGGAGAGGGCATATGAGAGGAGA